GCAACCTTCTATTTCAGGGTCGCACACTAACTGTCTGTGCTAGTCACCAGACAGCGTGTCAATGATAAGGCCAAAACGTGCAGTTTTGTAATGCATTGGTGTCGCCGTATTCTACATTGCAGCATTAAAGCTCCCAGCACATATACACTTTAGTATAATCAATTCCCAGGGATGTGGTGATCATTGCGACTTTGCATTTAGCAGGTTTTTGTAGTCCTTAAAAAAGCATTAAGGGGGCGGGGGGTATGACCATCTAGACTTGGTTTGCAATTCAATGCTGCCACCATTGGAATAGAGCCATTGGCTGTTATTTTTATTATCGACAAGTAGGTATTGTCTCTTAGCAGCTGTTTTAAACACCGATCCTTACAGGCACGCACTGCCAGCCAGCAGTGGCTTAGTGGGCCACTCATAAGTATTGAAAGTGAAAAACTGGACGCTTAAATGTGATGGGAATGTCGACAATGAGTGATACTGGCCATTAGATTCTCATTAATATTTGTGGGTTTCTCTATTCAACTCTCCGCTTGTGTCTTAATTATTGGGCAGTTGTTAGCGATTTAACAAGGTCATCATGTCACTGTTTTATTGTTTAGTACGACAATTAAAACTGGTGGCCTCGTGTAACATGATTAATTTATCAAGTAAGTTATCAGCTCGCTAGCCTACTTCCTTGTTAAAGGCCTTATACACTCTTGTTAATGTCACTGTGTTTCACACCGGCCTTGGTTAGATCACTTTGCCTCACAGTCACAAAGGTTGTGAGTTTAATTCCTGGTTGGGTTTGTATATTAGTCATCCTGTGGAGTTAGTGACCTCTGCCATGGTAACATGGAGTTTTCACCACTGTCCCAGAGTAACCATTGGTAGATTCTAATTTGCCAAATGGACACGTTGCCGAATGTTCCTTTTCATTATATTCTTTCGTGTGAAAAAAGTTCCAACATCTCTCATCGCAAACAATGTGCAATATTGTCAGGGTGATGTTTCTCGGACATTTTTTCCAAGATGTAAAATTTAATCCTTGGACTTTAACTCCTGTAGTCCCTCGGTGCTGCGCGCACTTATATACATTGAACGTACTCAAGCAAATACAGAGCGTGCCGCCGGCAATAAAGGAGGAGGCTGTGATTTTGCATATCTGTTTAAAAAAAGACAGGTATTACTTGCCACCCGCACTGAATGTGTCTGCTGCAGTGGGACGTGTGGGTGGCTAATTTACCCGCGATACCCGTTGTTTGATCGTATACTCGTGGGAGCAGCGCCGAGAAGACTGCTCGTGTTTCAAAGGTTCGCTCCATCATTTAGGTGTAAATGGGCACATGTGGTTGTCACGGTTATACAGACCAGAGTAGTGAAGCCATACTCTAAAGCAGGGGTTGGCAACCAAAATAATAAGAAGAACCATTTTTTCAAATTCGGAAAATAAAGTAAAAACTAAAATATGTCAAAAGCCGCAATGCATGTGAATACAAGTTGGTTCTCAATAAATAACATCACGAAACAGTCCCTCATGAGCCGCATGCAACTCCTCAGTCACAGGTTGCCAACCCCTGCCCATGGAAATCTGAACTTCCATGGTCAAGTGGACTTCCATGGTCAGGAGTCGGCAACCGAAACAACAAGATAGCCATTTTTTTCAAATTTCAAGAGCTGCACTGCAGTATTTAAAGATCCGCAGGTTGCCACCCCCTGCTCTAAAGGAAGATGCAATCCAACAACAAAATCCAGTAGTGCTTTTCTTGTTCACAATCTTCGATGGAAATTTGGCAATGTGCATCTACTGTGGCCATATCTGCAGTTATCATCCATTCTCCACAATGGAAAATGTTTTCCTACTCAAATTAGGCAGTGCGCATCTCCTGTTTATAGCTCGGAGGCAGTGTTAGAAATCGCACTTTGTTATGGGGGTTACAAGTCTATCCATAGGACAACCACTGTTGACTTCCCCACAACGTTGTTACTTATTTTATCAACCCCAGATGGGTTGAATTAACCCCTAAGCTAGGATTTGAACTTGCAAACTTCCAGTTGGCGATGCACTCGCTCTGCTGCTGAGCAACTTGGCTAGTCCTGAATGACGAGCAATCTCCTTCCTCTCTTTGCCTTGTCCAGACTTGCACTTTTGTGCACACGTGGGTATTCGATCAATTCTGTACAGCTTGGCAGCCTCCACAGTCATTAATGCCGTTGGCAACTTTCCTGGGTGTTGACTAGGCTGTAACGAGAAGTCTTGGTATGTATGTTGAATTTGCGCACCATACTTAGCCAACCGTGCTCATCGGAGGCGCGGGGTAAGGATAACAAACACAACAAGCAGTTCTAAAGAAATTAATTTTCAATCGAGATAATTGAAAAGTGAAAGCTCCAGTGGCTTCCTAATATCGGAAGGCAGAATGTTCCAGACGGCCACAGAAGCGCATCTGAAAGCGTGCGAATAGCCAAAAGCGACTGCGTGGATGACCAGAGTTTGCACGATGGTTTATGCTTCTTGACCTCGATCAGCAAGGCATTGTTCAATCTCCCCCTCCCAACCTCTCACTCTTATCTACACCTACAGTAGTGCATGGGGCTCCCGCAGGCTCACTTTTATCCTCTACATTGGTGATAGCAGGTCTTGTTATTTTGATTGCCGGCCCCTGGTATTGCCGGTGCCTCAGTAATACCTGCAGCCCAAAAGGTACTGGTGGTGTTAGGCTTCACGGCGGAAACCCTGGAGGTGGGGTTTACTTAACTACGAATGTCACCGTTGCAGTGGACGTTGTTACATTATTTGAGACCACATGCTATGAAATCGATCCTCGCACCACAGGCAATCGAGGATTTACAATTGTGGCTGACAGACGCCAAACTGGCAGTGAGGAGTCTGTCGCAGGTGTTCCTCAGCTGAGGAGCTGAGGATTCCCGAATAAGAAGAACAAGACAACGTTACATTATAGAGAGTGAAAATTGGGAATCCAGTACAAATGAGATGGTACAACCTCATACTCTAGACAGTGCAAATGGCATGGTACAGATGATACAAATGGCATAGACAGCACAAATGAGGCAAATTTACAAACAAACCAGACAAAACAACCAAGAAATGAAATGAATGTGTTCTTAAACCTACTCATGTGCCCCAGTTATGCTCCTTTTCCACTGCCACATGCGAAGCTGAGCCATTGCAGAGCCCTCACAGTGTGGGTGGCTTATCACTGGCTATTTGCTGTACCGTGCAGGATCTAAACCAAAATCCACAATCCACACACAACGTCTGAAATCAGGCATGGGGCCAAGCAGGACCAGTATCAGGGCTTAATGACAGATTAATTGTTTGACATCAGCCAGTACAACTCAAACAGCATCTGAAGTGGAAAACAACCTGGCCCCTTTAGAGTGAAACTGAGCCGCACCAGGGCTGTGCTAAAGTCAGCCTGGCGAAGCTCAGTTGTGCAGTTGGAAAGAGCTATTTGTAATATTTAATATTTAGTTTGAATTTTTACATGCTTAGTGGTTGCCTTCGAAATAACAACCACCGGTGACTCCCATTATATCCAGGTTGCGGTTTGATTGTGCTTATGAAAACATAAATAACGTGTTCGCACTTTCGTGCTGGTTTAACGACTTGCTGCTCCTCAGTTGTGACCGTGCGGTCAAGTAAACTGATGACTTTAATCACCATTACCTGCCATGATCAATGTACTGCTGGATGAAGGTCTTCCCAAGTCGTCGTCATTCTGTGATTTAATAATCCACCTTGCACCTATGCACGGCCAAATTACATTGCTTCAGCTCTCCCGGTGGACGTCGTCTTGGTTGCATTCCATTCCTTGGTTGCCACTCCATTATTCTTGATTACCATAGGAAACAATATAAACACATGTCACATTGCACGTCTTCACATCCGTTCTACATCTGTAAACAATAGATATGTTTCATATATTTACGTGGATATGTTTCGTATTTTCAGTGTTCTTGTTTTATATCAGACTAGCGGGAAGTACCCGGCTTTGCCCGGGTCTTAAAAATATTTCAAAACTACTCTTAAAAATCTAACAGCAGTGCGTACTGACTGTGGTGGTATCTGGTATGATAAGAGCAGTGCATACTGTGGTGGTACCTGCTATGACTACAGCAGTGCATACTGTGGTGGAACCTGCTTTCACTGCAGCAATGCATACTGTGGTGGTACCTGCTATGATTACAGCAGTGCATACTGTGGTGGTACCTGCTATGATTACAGCAGTGGATACTGACTGGTGGTACCTGCTATGATTACAGCAGTGCATACCGACTGGTGGTACCTGCTATCACTACAGTAGTACATGCTGACTATAGCACAAAGTACTCACCTGACAGAGTGGCGTGGTGAGGCCTAGTTCCGTGCAGAGCCTCCGGCCTCGCCTAGATTGTCCAGCCGACCGAGGTGGCACCTTGGCAGGCTGGGGCTGGGCTGCTACCCCTGACCCCCCCCCCCCCCAGCCACGATCTCCCCCGCCGCTCTGCAGTAATATCTACGGCCTATAGTTGTAGGATCTAGCGACTGTATCGTAGTAATAGCTGCACGCATCGGGGTCGGGGGGACATCGCACAGTGAAGAATTAACGTCAGCGTTTATTGTATTTTTATAGCATTTTTAATGCTTAAGAAATTGTCCCCCTCACTCTCACCGAAGGTGCTTGAGTTGATAAGGTCGTGCACGCGAAATAAATAAAAGGCAAGCACACAAAAATCGCACTAAATCGCTAATTAAACGAATTTAAAGTTGACGGATGTGAAAAAGGAATAGTGCTTGCTCACCGCGGGGCTTACGGCGTGGTACCTGGCTATTTTTATTTTTCGTAAACCCCACCGTTGGAGAGGCAAATTGTTCGCAAGCGCGCGAACACCATACAAACCCACAAACAGACAATTTTTTACTTTTATATATATAGATTGTCCACCCGCCCCCACCTCCCTCATCCCATTACCCTGCTTAATCGAGAGTTGGCTGTACTTCTGCTGGCTGTTTTGTCCAGGTGCTGCCTCCAAACATGGTGTCGGTGGGGATCTACTGCGGCGTCATCGCCATCTTCTTCACCTCGCTGAAGTCCGTCAACTACCGGCTGCACATGATGTTTGACCGTGGCGAGTTGGTGGAGCGTAGCGGCTGCAGCGGTGGCGGCGGCGTTGGCGGCAGCGGCGGCGTCGGAGGAGGAGGCATTGAGATGCTGGACCTACGCTCGCGGCCTCCCGGCGCGCTGCACGACGATGACGAGACGCCGGCGGGACCCGGCCCAAGCAGCGGTGCCAGGCAGGAGTACAGCGGAGGGCCCGGGTGAAGGCACACCCCACTCCCTCCCCCTCCATCCCTCCCCTATTCCCCCTGTAGCACCACAATGCCGTAGCCAAGGGGCGGTCGGCATGCTGCATCACCGTTATGCATCATGGTCGTCATGAGCATCATCAACCATGATCATTCCACTGCTGGATGGAGGTCTCTTCCATGCCGTGGGCATTTATCACGTCCTGCGATGTAATAATTCACGGTGCACCTGCACATGCTGTTGTCTCCCTGTTATGCGTACTCTTCTATCCTTGGGCTGCCATGCCATCATTATTCTTGATCATGGGTCATCATCCCTTCTAGCGACGTGGCTTGCCCAAGCCCACTTTTCTTATAATTTATTTCCGATCTATATGTTTCTTTTTCTTTCTTTCAATGTTGTGATAAGCAGTATACCTGTATATTCTTGGTTCTTTCGGTAAAGTCACGTAGAAGGGAAACAATAAAATAATACAAATATAAAACAATACAATTCTCACGACGTTTCGACTGCAACACAAGCAATCATCATCAGGTGTGAAAACTACAACAAGAAAATTTGAAAAAAGTGGCGGTTTTTAACGTTAGCACCACAGATAGCGATTTGACAGTTTGTTCAGATGGACGAGTCCATCTATGTTCGGAAAAGAGGAGGGGGGAGACGAAAAACAATGGATGCGGTCTGAAAGCCACCTTAAGCGTGATCAATCAATTAAGACCCGAAATGGTTTATCAAATCCTTCCAATGATTGTTAAGCCAGAATCCATCTTCTCGGTTGAAATTGTCTCTGTGTTTGTATATGTGGATAGCCTCATGAACGAATCTCTCATGGTAGCCAGATGGCTTGCAAAGAACCTCTGTCTTTGAGAAGTCAATGTCATGTGAACCTACTGAATTATAACAGTGATCTGCCACGGCCGAGGTGTTGGTCCTACCGTGTTTCAGGTCTGCTTTGTGTTCACAAATGCGGTCCGAGACATGTCGTTTGGTTTCTCCAATGTAACTACTACCACAGAGGCAACTTAGTTTGTAGACGCCAGGGTACTGTATGTCCGGAATCACATCTTTTACAGACGGAACCAGATCACGGATGTTATGTAATGTGTTGAATTGGACCTGGATCTTGTGTTTATTCAAGATTTTGGAGATATTTTTGTGATCCCCGCAATGTAGGGTAAAGTGATGGTTTTGAAAGGCTCCTCAAGAGGGTCCTATTCATGGTTTGAGTGATAGCTTTGCGGATTGTGTAGTCGGAATAACCATTAGCCTTAAGAGCTTGGTGTACCTACAAACTGGCTCGTTTTCTGTCTGAAATCCTACGGCCTTTCACTGGAAAAACCACCTCTGCGGTACAAAATTCTACTCACTTGGTATCGACAATCAAGGGTGTTTCCCTCTGAACAAACTGTAAAATCGCTATCCGTGGTGCTAACGTTAAAAAACCGCCACTTTTTTCAAATTTTCTTGTGGTTTTCACACGTTGATGATTGCTTGTGTTGCAGTCGAAACGTGAGAATTTTATTGTTTTATATTATTATTTTATTGTTTCCCTTCTACGTGACTTTACCCTGCTGTCACGAAAGCTTTAAATCAAAATAAAAGCAGTATCCAAACATATAAAGATGCATGAGTGGGCATACACATGGCAGGATATGGGTGAGCCACTTTGAAGTTCGGACGAGAATGTGGGTGGAAAGCACTATTCTTGGGAAGAGGATGTTGTCATGGGTGGGGAACACATGTGGAAATGTGCATTGGTTGCTGCAACAGAGATAATTGTTTTGTCAGCTTTATCGTGTCCAATGACTTGACAGGAAGTTAAATAATGATCGTGTTCGTGTCGGCAGTGACCCTGGCGGGGGCAGCACAAGTGGCAGTGGCGGCAAAGTGGAGGTGGTGGAGCTACACAGGGAGGGAACGCCGCCTCTAGCGTGCAGCTCGCGTAACTCCTGCGCGGGAGACCTGCATCGGGTGAGCTCAACGAAAGGACTCGTCGCTGCTGCTTTGCAATAATTGGCCTTGTCACGTGGCCACCCGTCAGCACCTATAGCATGTATAAGCGGGCTCATTGGTATGTTTATTAAAAGGCCAGCTTATTTTTATTTGAATGTGTTCACGGCAATTACTGTAATGTGTTCCACTGATTAAGTTCCCGCTCTTTTTTTTTTTTACCAGGTTGAGATTCTCCCAGTCCCCGAGTCCACTGGCAGTGCCAAAGGTTTGTTCACTGACGTGACGCAACATCTTCCGCATCCGCTATTTCCTCTGCACAGTAGCTACATAGCCTCTTGGTTTCAAGTATCGAGGATATGAATACTAATTGTTTAAAGTAAAAAAATTAAGGATTTTATGGCTGGTGTCATCAGTAACTGTGTTATCACAAGCTGCTTAAGTTAGTAATGCTTATGTAGGACTCTTTAGGGTTCTGTAAAAATGCTACTACGACATTTGAGAGTAACGGGAGAAATGCCAGGAGCTGGTTTTCAGAGCTCCCTTGTTTTAGAATTGCTTCTCATGTTTTATTCACAAAAACTTGAATCATTCTAACAGTGAAAACAAGGGCTGAAGAGTTATTTTACACAGATGAACATGGGACAATGGCAACGTTCTGCTTACATCCCCTGAGCTAGTAATGAAAATTGCATATTCCTATGGCAGGGACTGTCATGAACATCAGCGTTCGAACACTTTTTTGTGGTATTAAAAAGAAATGTTTTTGCTGCGTCGTGTGATCGTTCAGTGTGCACGTCGGAACAGTGAATCCTTGCCGGCTGATTATTTCCCTGCTTAGCTGAAGCACCGCCGCCCCACTCGCCGCGACGTGCGCGCGCGTCTCACCGTCTCCGCTCGCGGTATGAAAACCCCCACAGATGCGCTCGGGAGGGAGAAGCCGCCTTTGCCGCCGCTACTCTCGTGCGACTCCCCCGCCTCGAGCCACGGCTCGGGCTCCCTCGACTCGGAGACGCAGACGCTGCTGGCGTCCGTGGGCAAGCGCCCACGCGTGACGAGCGGCGACGCGCCGGCGACCGCGTCCTCCTCCGCCGCCGCCGTCGACGGCGGCCGTCCGACGTGGTCGAGCGAGGCGAGCGAGGCCCCCGCGCGCCGACGTAACGGCCAGGCGCCTCGCGCGTCGCTCAGCGAGTTCCTCGACATGCCGGCGCTGCGGGCCTTCGAGTCGCCCGACGGCCGCGAGCCCGGGAGCCTTCGCGGCGACGCCGCCTCGGTGTCCGTCGACGACTCGCCCGGTAACGCGCCTGACGACGACGACGAAGACGGCGGGGGAAGCGGTGGCGTTGACGGTCCTCGGCTGCCGGACGGAGCCCGCCTGCGGCAGGAGGAGTCGCGGAACAGCCTGCGCAGCCTCAGCTCGGTCGGCTCGGGCCGCCTGCGCTTTGTGGAGGCCGCCGATGACCCTCGCGGCTCACGGTGTGCCGCTGCTTCCGAGGACGATCGTGGCAAGTCCGCGCGGAGCCAGCCGCCCGATCCGAGGGCTGACGAGAAGTCGTCCGCCAGGGCGGACGCGAGGACTAAGCAGAAGGAGCGGCTCCCTTCGTACGGCGGCGAAACTAATGCGAACCCGCACTCCAACCTCATAGCGGCAGACGCGCTGGCGGCGCAGAAGGCGGCCGACGTCAAGGAGGGCAACGGCGGTCGGACTCGGGGTGGCAGGACCGGCGCCGAGAACCTGGACGGGTGCCCGAGCTCGGCGGAGAGTGTCGCACCGAGCCTCGTGGAGTCCCCGGCAAGCAGGGGCGGCAGGCCCGTGCCGGAGAGCGCACGGGTAGCAACGGCGGGGGAGGGCGCGGACCCGGCGGTGCGGCCCAAGTCGTCGAGCTTCCTGCGGCGCGCAAGTCGCAAGCGGAAGACGAGGCGGAAACGCAGCGGTAGCTTTGAGCTGGACCGCCCGAGCGCGGGCTCAGCTCCGAGCCGGGCTCACGGCAGCGGCGGCGAGTACGTGACGGTGGCCACGCCGTTCGGCGTGCGCGACAAAAACAACGGGGACGACGACGACGACGACGACGACTCGAGCGAGCTGAGTTCGCCGTCTTCGACCAACAGCTTCTTCCGAGAGAGCAGCTTCAACAGTAGCTCGACGCACTCCAGCCCATCGCCGGACTCCGATTCGGGGCTTTTCCTCGAGGCGGTGGCGGCGGCGGCGGCGGCCGCGGCGGCGGCGGCCGCCTCACACAAGCACGGGCGGGGGAAGCGCGGCATGTGCGGAGTGGCGGGGGGGAGCGGCGGCGGCGGCGGCGGCGGCGGCAGCGGAGCGGCCCCGCCTGCCGGCACCGGCACGCCAAGGCCCCCGCTGAGGCGGCCGCCGTCGCACTCTGTGTCGCACCCACCCCGGCGTACGCCCAGCATGGCGAGCGCCAAGACGCACGCGCGCGTGCTCAGCATGGATGCCGGGGGGGCCGCGGCGGCGGGCGGAGGGAGAGGTGAGCGGCAGCGAAATTAGCAACGAGAACATTCTTCCGCAAATTTAAATTTTATTGAAGCAGTCGATAAAATGCCCCCCCTCACTCAAGCACCTTCGGTGGGAGCGAGGGGGACATTTTCTTAAGCGTTACAAATGCTATAAAAATACACTAAGCGCTGACGTTAATTCTTCACTGTGTGATGTCCCCCCGACCCCGATGCGTGCAGCCATTACTACGATACAGTCGCTAGATGCTACCACTATAGGCCGTAGATATTACTGCAGAGCGGCGGGGGAGATTGTGGCTGGGGCGGGAGGGGGGGTCAGGGGTAGCAGCCCAGCCCCAGCCTGCCAAGGTGCCACCTCGGCCGGCTGAGTGAACAACACTCATCAAACTCGACGGTGACTATTAGTACACGACCAACAACGAAATTAACTAATTTGATTGATGGTGCAGAATCGTACAATTTAGTGCCCCGGGGAAGTGCGAACATGGCAATTTGATATTTTTGAATATAAAGGTTCACCGATTATCTGATGCCGTAGCATTGGGGAGGGGGGACGTGCATGCCGCTCGCACCAATAATTATTAATAACTAAGAGTCGACCATTCAATGCACGACTAGGTTGGGGCCTCCACACACCGTGCAGATCGTTCGGGGGTTATTTGACCTTCCTGAATTGGTGCGCGTTGGTGGAGGTGGGGAACGTAGACGTGTTGGTTGGAGCAATAATGGAAATTCCCGCACCGCCCTCTGCAGATGACGTAGCCAGAGAGCAGTCTCAAACACCAGTGTGTTGTGCGAGGCGTTCCATAGTCATCGATGAATCGTAAAACCTCGATCCTTATATCGGTACGCACAGGCGCCGCAGCTGGTGGCGGCCCAGCGGACGTCTCGGCAGGAGACTCTGCGGCCGCGGGGGCGACTGCCGGCCCGGCGGTCGAGGACCCCTCGTCGTCGTCGCGTCCCCTCACTTCGTCCAAGTCGGAGCTGGAGAAGAAGGAGGGAGAGGCGCTGGACGAGCGCTCGCTGCTGGGACGCGCCCGCCTGCTCGAGCTCATGTCGCGTGGGCACACGGGCGGCGGCGGCGGCGGCGGCTCCGGCGGTGGAGGGAGCGGGAGCCAGGCGGAGTGGCGCGAGCTGGTGACGAGGAGCCAGATCGCCACCTCGTCGGGGCCGTCCGAGTGGAGGGACCTGGTCACGCGAAGCCACTCGGATTGGCTGGAGCTCGAGGAGCAGGGGGCGGCTGGTGGGGGTGAGAGTGTGTGTCTATTTTGTGTGTGTCTGTGTGCGTGCCTTGATTTGTTTTCATTTGTGCAATCAGTGGCATGCGTGTGGTTGTTGTGTGTGTATGTATGCGAGTGTATTACTTTATTGGTTACTGCTCACGCTCGGACTCGGAGCTACTTGAAGCACGAAAGGGAATTGAGGGTGCTAAAATTAAAAACAGTGTTGCCAGTTCGAATATATATGTATATTTACATTAAAAGCTTGGAGTAATGGATTAATGCTGTTTGAAGGCCTTTTTCAAGTGGCTATGGGCCATATGACATGTTGCAGTGGTCACTCATGGTTCTAGTACATGGAGGTTGCAAGTGGTACCTCAGACTTTCCAGTCTCAAGGGACTCGTGCAGGTGGATTCTTTGATATCATGTGCAGGCAGCATGGCATGATGATTTACCACAGCTTGGCACCTCATGAGACCAGTTCATCTGGTATGCTGCACGAGACTGCACGTGCCCAATCCGGTGGAGGAAACCGCCGATGATGGAGCCACCGCTATTGCGGTGTGCAGCCTCTCCCCATCCCAGACCCAGAAGCATCCCCCCCCCCCCTCCCCCGAGCAGTCTCTTTAACGGCGCGGTGTTCGGGCAGTTCCGTCATCGGTGAGCGAGGAAGGAGGCAAGCCACGGCGGCACAGCAGCATGACGCGCGGCGCGGTGCGGAGGCAGACCGTGCGGCGGCGCCACCACGCCGGCAGCAACCCCACGCCGCCGCCCTCCATCCTGGGCTCGCCGCTCAGGTGAGAGAGAGAGAGAGAGATCCCCAGGCGCCATCGCCTGCAAACGTAGTTTCCCGAAGTCGCGTGTGCAGAGCGTGAACTCTGTAACCTTGCGAGGGTGCCCCCGATAACCCACGTCTATCTTGGAAAGGAGACCGGGGACATACGTGACAAATATCTTACCTTCTTTGGTTCTTTCGGTGAAGTCACCGAAAGAACCAAAGAAGATGAATCATTGCAGTCACGAAAGCTTTAAATCGAAATATATCTTACCGTAGCAGCGGGAAAAATTTTACTTGCAGTGGTTCGTGATTAAAATAGATTCGTACACTTATGATGTATGCGTTAAATCGTGCTTGCCAAGCATGGATTATTTGGGATTTATGCACTTTAAAATGTGACCTACATGCGAATGCAACAGCTGCTACAAACAAAATAAAACAGAATTTGATACAAACAGTACAAATGAAAGAAGAGCAAACGACACAATTTTGTTTTTAAATAGAATCGTATCCGAGTCGTAACAATTGTAGTTGAGTCGATTGAAACATTTGCAAAAGGGATGTGGGATGCAAAAAAAATATAATACCACGTTTTGCCCAAAGAGCTACCGGTTGACTTGGATTTTTTTAATCGAATACTTCTGAAAACAAAATCCTGTTCGAAAGCCTTACACATGCATATGCGCGATATTTCCACGACTTGCTTTTGCTGGCGTATTACTTTGAACTCCTCCCATCTGTTCCTGGCCCTCGCGCCACTCTCACCTTTGCCCTCTGCACTGCGTCTCGCAGCCTGCCGGACGGTCCCCGCTGCCGCACGTCATCGCTGTTCAAGCCCGTGCAGAGCCTGCCGCTCTCCCTGGGGCCGTCCGTGCCGGGCAGCGGTGGCCCCTGCGGTTCGGGCGGCGGCGCCGGCGGTGGTGGCGCCGGCGGAAGCTGCGGCGGAGGCCCCGGGGGGAGCGGCGGAGCGAGCACCTCGTCGTGCGTGCAGGCCCAGCTTCCGGGCGCTCCGCCGCTGCACGTGGCCACGTCGCACGATGACACCACGTCCGGCGCCGTGCACTGCTTCGAGGATGAGGATGGTGAGAGAGAGGGAGAGAGACAGCGTCGCTCGTTCTGCCGCTCGTTCCGCCGATTGTTCTGCTGCTCGTCCCCCACAGCTTCTCTGTTATTTTAAAGGTTCCCGAAATGTGGTGGCACTGCGATATTTCGTACGGAGATAAAGTTAATGGTAACCGTGACGTCCGTTTTGCAAAATCTCGTAATGTCCACATTACCGTTGCTCGTTTTACGTTATTAAATATATTATTTCCTGACCAAATATTTACGAAACTAACCACCACAATAATGAAAAGTTATAAATAAATATCTGTTACTCACGAAATTGGTGCTTTTCAAAATGTTTTGTAGCGTAGTTGATGGTGGCTGTTATATACCATCATTTTCTTAGTCAATTTAACCATTGTGCTTCTATGACTGCATGGTGTGCATTATAAATAGTTCACATTGTAAATATGCAATTATTATAAGACTCGTAGCAGGCTTATGTTGAAGAACTTGTCAGTAGTCTGTATTCGTACCAGAAGTACGACAGCACAACCATTCAATTGGAAATGCGGAATATAATTTAAAAGTTTTTGGGAATTGTTATCACAGTTATCATCACATCGTAAAGCTTTGTATCAGGGTACAAACCTACTCATTTGCTCTTCCTTTTTGCTTGTTCACTTGCTCAGCTTTGAAAGACAGGAGAGGAGAACTTTCAATGTTAATATTTGAATTGGATTGAATGTATTTAATCTCACAGGTTTATTTTAAATAGTAAAGGTGCCTTTAGTTTGAAGTTATTTTCACATTTTGTAGTGCATGGTGAGCTTCTGATAGAGTACGTGGTGGTGTACACTCATCTTATGTCTTTATCCCGCCATGGAATGGTTGCAGGCTGATTTTAAAGTAATTCCTCGCCAAAAGCGGTTGTGGCTTAACGCGGAAGTTTTCAGGAACGCACGCACCGCGTTGAACAAGGGATTAGGATAAGGTAAGAGGGTAATCTGTGAGATATCTATACATCGATCACACTGTATTAGCAGGTCAGCATACTGGTAGAATACTGAGAGAATTACTATTAGGAGACCACAGAAGGCAACGTAGCCAACCGATTAACACAGTTGGCTCCGTACGGTTCGAAAGAAGTTCTACATATAGAGAAGTGAGAAATGCAGGCTGAACCTGCTGGCGGCTTCGTTGTGTCCGTGCCTCAGGGAACCTGATGACGTACACCTTCGGGGAGCAGAGCGATGGCTGTGCCACGCTTCTCTCCAACATGGACGCCACCATCAACCCCAAGCACTCGAGCTGGTGAGGCCCTCTCCATCGCCCAACGTGTCACGTGTAACCACGAAGACTGATTTTTTTCCACTGTACAACCGAGCCGTGCCCAGGACTGTCTTGCTAGACTGGCATAGATCACAAGGATACAGGTTCTTCCACTGCAGAAGCTGAGCTGAGCCGTGCTGCTGACATCACACGCAGTGAAATTGCTGAGATGCGTGTTTTTGACGCGGTGTTTTATGTATGTTGAACTTTTTTGCACCGTACGTAGCCAACCGTGCTAATCAGAGATGCGCTGGATTGTCCTCACAGAGTACTGACTGACGTCACACGCAGTCGGATTCAGATGTTTTGTGAGGTCAGCGTATCGCGGTTTGGTTCTGGCTCGGCACAACAAATAGTCCCGTGCTGGCTTGGCTTGAATATGCCAGTGGAAAAGGGGTAATCGGGTCTTTGTTCGCAAGCCATTACCAGTCCATTTTATGTATGGCGGTTAATTTTTAAACTGCAGCCTTGATGAAATGCCATTGCATGAGTCACCTGAATCCTCATTAGGCTTCGCCCTGTACCACCCAGTCACTTTCATGCTTATCCAAATTGACCAATGAATTAACGCTGTATTGCATGTGAGTGACTTTAAACCTCTGAAAGTTTTGACTATCACCTTGCGGTTGATGCTGCCCTCTCGTAATAATGTAATAGGTTACGGGAGAGTACCAGGTCTGTTGTGGATTAACTCACCGAGATGACTGACGTGCACCCACTGCTCATGCTCCCCACTGTGCCAACATTTGTGCGTTCTCGCACAGGGATAGCCACTCATACTTTGACGCGCCCTCGGTCGGCTTCCTTGACAAGACGGAGGAAGCGGCATCTCGCGACCGCGATCTCAACCCCTACGAGACCATCGAGGTGCCGCGTCCCCGTGAATCCGTCTTCTTGGAGCAGGTGCGAGCGAAGAGGTGGGGGTGTCGATGGAAGTGCATGGTGGCGAGATGTTAACTACCTCGCCTGGTATACTGGAGGCCGTGGGTTTGATCCCGACCCTGAAACCTGCTGTATATTTGGAGTTTGCTTATCTCTCTCCCCGTGGTGGTGGTTTTTTCTCCGGGTCCTCCAGTTTTTCCCTTCACATTTAGAAACATGCATTTAGACTATTTGGCTGCTATAAATTTCCACGTGTTAAGCCACTACGATGAGCTATCATTTGTGCCTGGGTTGCTTTCGAAAAAGAGCTAGATAGCTCAGTGGGCCTTATCTGGTGAAATAAAAAGTAGTTTAGTTTATAGTTTATCGGATTGGTCCATTCGTTTGCTTGCCACTCAGCCGACGCTGCGCGTGAGTGCTCATTATCAGTGCCCTGTAACAGAAGCCGTAGAGCAGTGCCATGCACAGCACGCTGTGTACAATAAGATAGTTTTGTTTTTAGTTTAATTACCATCTTAAAGATAGAAAAATTCTCAACTCTAGTAGTTTACATGTGCATTTCTAGTCATTTGTCATTTCGCTGCTGGATGAAGGCCTTCCCTACAACATGTGGGGGTGTGTGGGTTATTTGATCATGCTTCATGCTGGTCAGTGTGCATTGGCGATCCCTTCAGAATTTATTGGCCATAAAACAGAAAATGTTTCTTCAGGCGGAACCAAATTAATTGCTCTGACCCCGGGACTAAATAAAATTCTCACCCTCCACTCGTCTGCCTTCACTCGCCTCCCAATGTCACTACGCTACGACACCTAAACCCATTCTCCCTGCTTCCTTCCACCGATCTTGCTCTGCCCCGGCAGCGTTTGTTCCGGGCGCAGCAGCGATTCCGGGGTCCGGCGTTGGAGCTGCCTTTGCCAGAGGTGCACGACGGGCGCGGCGGCATCGGGGGCGGGATCGGCGCGGGGACGCTGGCGGACAGCGATCGGCCCGGGGAGAAGCGAGTTAAGCAGCGGTACAAGCTGCAGTTCTTCCCCGGAGCGTGGCTGGCCATCCGCTACGACCGCCTGGCGCTGCTGGCCTTGCTCGATCGGTGGGTTTCTTCTGCCTATGGAGGCCAGGCCTCGCTTGCGAGAGAACAGCGCAACGTCTCCGGGAGATCTTGTGCCACGTACGGCACCGTTGTCAATCCGCTGCTGGACAAGGGAAATTTCGACTATCCTGTGCCACTCTAGTTTGTGCTATATTGGTTAAGGTGGGGGACAAAAACACATGGGCATAGACGGGGGTCAGCAACCGCAATAACACGAACGGACCTTTTTTCGAATTCGGTAAAAGACTATTTCAAGAGTCGCAGTGCACGTGAATAACATCACGAACCAGTCCTTAAAGAGCCGCAGGTTGCTGACCGCTGGGTTTAGAGGTACAGTACAACAGTGGATTTTATTATTTAGTTACATTGCCCGCTATGACAAAAACTGTATGTGGTGTTTTAAAGTGCTCACGCTAATTTAAACAAACGTTATGCAGGATGAATGTTTTCAAAATAATAATTTTTTGATGAACTACGTTTTATCAAGCACAATTTGCATGGGGCCTCAAAGCACTGCACGTAAAGTTTAAGTTACGGAGAAAGTTCCCCAGCTAACCCAAACACATTTTACGAATGAATGATTCGTCATTGACCTCTTAGATAGCTTCAAACACTGTTCAAAAACAAATCACCGCTTTTACATAGCTACTGAAGCAGAACCATTGTGCTCCATGCCCTCTTCTCTATTCTCACCCAATATCGGTGCACCTTAGTGTAGGTAGCTCACGAGACCGATCGTTGGTGGCACGTGTGTATGTTCGCACGCTCGCAGAAACCGGCAGTTGGGTGAGAACATCCTGGCCGTGGTGCTGGCCGTGCTCGTCGCGTTCCTTGGCTTCGTGCTGCTCAAGACCGGCTTCTTCCACGACATCTGGGTGCTGCAGTTCTGCCTGGTGATCGCCAGCTGCCAGTACTCGCTCATAAAGGTGACGCTCGCCTGAGAACGTGCGTGCGCTTGCGTTGCCCCCTTCGTCTCGCTGGCGAGACGTTAACTACCTCGCCTGGTATTGAGGAGGTTGTGGGCTCGATCCCGGCCCTGACACCTTCATATTTGGGAGTTTGAATGTTCTCTCTACCCGTGGTCGTGTGGATTTTTCTCAGGGTCTTGTGGGTTTTCCCCCTCCACGTTTAGAATCAACATGCGTTTTGAATATTTGGCTGCTATAAATTTCCACATGATCAGCCACTTTATTGAGCTATCATTTGTGGCGAGGTCGCTTCTGAAAAAGAGCTACATAGCTCAGTGGGCCTTACCTTGTGAAAAAAAAGTTTAAATAGTATATAGTCTCTGTGCACCTGTGTGTTTGTGTGTGCAGGGAGTGGTGGTGTAGTGGGTCAGTGCAATGTGCTACGAACCCAGCGGACCCAAGTTTGATTCCCAATAGCGGCCAACATAAGTGACCAATATTTGAACTGATTTTGGGCCTCCTTGGTGTTGGATGAACGCCTGGTGTGGTGTGCAGACATCAACACTGGGGAGACATAGGGGGTCGGGCGAGGTTCTGGCTGTACGCTAGGCTTGATCTCATTCCTCACGAACGTCAGATTTGTATTTTGTGATAATGTTTATTTTGTCTGTTGAGGCAAGTGTGCGCACAGCAAAGGACATAGCAGGGGAGTTGGGTCAGCATTGCTCTGGGTAATATTAATTTGTGTTTTTAACGTTGAGAAAAGTTAATGATAAATTGGAAATCTGTAAATTGAACGTAAATCCAAATGTTCGGTGTATAATTTGTGTAGAAAATGTATTATAAACCTTTAATAGGTGCCTGTTTATTTTCCCCCTTTTTAATTCCTGTTCTCTTGCATTACAGAGTGTACAACCAGACGCTGCATCACCAATGCACGTAAGTAAACGTGGTCCTCTCCCCTTACTTTCGTTAAGCATTATTAGTTGACGTGTGCCGCCTTCAAAGGTTATGGATCTTGGTTGGTCCTGTTAGCAGTGGTCCCTTGCATGCTAAACATTCCACAGTTACTAACCTCAGGGTGGCTCTTTCACGGGTTGAAGATTGTGACTACTTAAACGCTGGTTGTCTTTGACAGCCATTTGTGTCTTCCTCTCCCTCCCCTGTCTAGTGAAGTCACTATTTCACTATCGTACATTTTTATTGCATCTATTTTAAGTGCAATAATCACATAATCGGAGTGCTACGGAGGCATGCTTAACCGTGATTTTAAAGTATTTTTTCCGCTAATTACGTTTCCAACCACAGTCATCCCTCGTTATGCGGCAACTCAATCTACGGAATATCGCTATAACGTAACTTGGGAAATTTCGATTTAAAGCTTTCGTGACTGCAGGGAATCATCGTCTTGGTTCTTTCGGTGAAGTCACGAAGAATGGAGTGACTTTACCGAAAGAACCAAGAAGATGGTAACTTGGGAAATTAGGGAACGAATTCGATAAACGTTACGTAAAATTTGCGTTTACGGAGTTTTTGAATCTCTGAATTCAAATTGTTTTTGTGGGGTAAATCGAACGATGCACGGTTTGTGGATTGTCCTAGCGTGCATTCCATGCTGCTGCAGGTGCTTTGCGAGGCACGCTTTTCACACTGTGCTGGTTTCTCCGCACTCTCCGTGCCATCCAAGTTGGGCTCGTTTTGGTTCCGTCCTTTGTGTTGATCACTCCTGGCGCCGGACTACACAGGATTTCACCTTTCGTTCAATGCTCTCACTTCAATAAAAGTAAGTCAAGATGTCTAGAAAAGAGGCCAGTAAGTGCAAGTATTTTAGCAGAAGTCCAAAAAGAGAAAATAAATTACCTTGAATGTAAGTCTTTATTTGACGGGCTTATTTTGAGGATTCGAATTTTATAAAATTATACATTTCCATTAAATGTGCTTTAAAAAGTTTGCTACAATCTTAAGTGTGATTTTATTGCATCTTTGGGCCAATTTTTTTCCGTAGGAAAGCATCTACAATTTCCAATGTAAGTCAAGGGGAATATAGGGTTCGATATACAGAATTTGGCAACTTTTCAGTAACCCATCTGTTCTGTATATCGAGGTATACCCCAGTGTCATACAACCTTGGACACATAGCCTGGTTACATATTATGTATGTGCTCCCTAATATTCGGAATCCCCCAAATATAAAAAAATCAGGCCTAGACATTAAATTTTGGATTGTCCAAAAATAATGTGTGTTTCTGATTTCCCCAAAAACCCGAAGTGACTTACCCAAAAACGGTGCCACACGGGGGAATGCCTGGCATCACTTACCACGGAGACGTATTACATTCGTACAAAATATAAACGATGTAAAGATTTTCTTTAGACATCCAAAATATTAAAATCTGAAACTTGTCTGAAAACACATCTACAAGAGCTGTTTGATTTTTGGAGTGCATCTTTTAATTACGTGACATTTGCAGGCCATATTCAGTTGCCATTCAACTGGTAATCATTGTGGACATTCAAGTCCCAGTTTCCGGTTCCATCGTGTGCTTTGTGGTTAAAACTACAACGGCAATCGCCGCTGCTATTTGCCACCACCATCGCTTTTGAGTCTTATCTTTCTTCGTCTCCGGCACGGACTACAGCTACCAAAGCCGGTCATCCGCACACATCTAGCTGTTGCGCTTTGTGTGTGTGTGTGTGTGCGTGCAGGGTCATAACCGGGTGATCGCCTACAGCCGGCCGGCATACTTCTGTCTTTGCTGTGGCCTCATGTGGCTGCTGGACCTGGGCAGCCAGAGCTTGAGTCTGCGCGTGGCGTTCACGCTGTACGGCGTGCCCTGCACTGTGCCCCGCTTGCTCATTTTTGCCCGTGACCTCATCATGGGTGAGGAGCCGAGCAAGCGATGTCCATTTGCTTGCGCTTTCCAACGAAGGTTCAACGCGTTGATGCATCCGATCTGTCCGTCTCTACGTCCGATTGTCAGTCGGTCGATCTCACTGTAACATGGGGGGGGTCATGTTCAATCCAGTAAAGATTACGTAATGTACATGCAATTTTTGTTTAAAGTTGTGTTGCTAATTGATTGAAAGGGTTATTGAAAATGTGGGCTGTCTAAACCTAAGATAATGGGTAATCCTTTTCGGCCAGTGTGATGACGTCACGCGTCGTGCTCGTCATCATGCGTGACGTCATCATGCGTGACGTCGTCTTGCAGCGGCACTTGTCACGCAAGTCTTCTCCTTTTGCCACTCGGAGGGTAATGTTATCGATAAATAATCCTGTGCTGCTGAGAACAAACGCATGTTGGAATGTGTTACAGAATGTACACAAATGCATGACTTGTCTTGTTTTTGTTGTCGTGGTGCTTTTATTGACATGATTAGCGTGAAGGCATTTTCATTGTAACCTCTTACAGCGATGTTTATAGGAAGATGACATTACAGAAGCACTTAAGCTGCTTCAGTAGCTTTATTAGCCAAACTAGATAGTGTTCCTCTTCATATGTTCTGAAAATAGTGTTTGTGACTTGGTGAATAAATGCACTTTTAATCTTAATTTAATCTTGATAACTGGAATAATCCAACTTAATTGAAAATCTAAATTTTATATGATGGGTTGTATTCTTATTATTATTCTTGATTGATTGGGATAAGAAATATACTCTACATCTGAAACCCCAGTTTAATCATGGGTGATTGAAATCCAAATTCCAACCCCAGGATTGAATGTAAAAGTTTTGGTATGAGCCCCTTGAGCCACCAGGCTCCCACACTGACTTAAGTATAATAGTAGCGTAGTGTGTCCGTCATCCGGGGGTAAGATACAGTGGTTAGAGTGCCCGACTCAAAGCGGGAAGGGTACAAGTTCAAATTCTGGTAATCTTACACAAGAATCATCGCAAGTGAGACTGTGAAGGACGTAATTAGACGTCCAGAGGCACGATGATCCTGGTCTTAACTACGTCTCTGTTTAGTGCGGTTGCCTACGTACAGTGCGAAAGAAGATCATACTTACGTACGTACAGACAAGTGGTAATTGGATCTTGGTATAGTTTGTAAGGTTATTGTTTATTTTCAGCTTATACCACTCGCATTCTTTTATTCACACTTAACTCTTAGTTTACCAGAGTGAAGTAGCTTGTTTGTAAAATGTGATCTCGGCAGTGCCAGCCTTAAAAATTACTCCTGTGTGTTGGCTGTTTTGTCACTGCTGGGGTGACTGTGCTGAATGTAGTCGACTGGTTCCCAGTCTTCACTGCTTTGTGTCCTCCCCACTCCCCTCTATTCCCTCGCGTGTCTGCCCAACGTGCAGTGTTCACTCTGTGCTTCCCCGTGGTGTTCGTCTTCGGCCTACTGCCGCAGATCAACACCTTCCTCATGTACGTGCTGGAGCAGCTGGACATGCACGTGTTCGGGGGCAACGGTGAGTTTTGCGTTGCCATTGTGGACGGTGCAGCATGGCGAAGAGAGGTGTGCCGTTTCTTCGTGGGCAATTCGGCATGGTGCGGCGTGAAAGCGGAGAAAACGCACCGGGGTATTAGGGCAGTGGATGTGACGAGAGAAGAGGCAGAGAACAGAAGCACGTGGAAAAAAAAAAACAATCCAAGCCGCCAACCCAATACAATTATAGAACATTTGGCTTTCAAGAAGATCCCAGTTAAAATTCACTCATTGGGAGGGTGTTCATTTTTCTCTGCTGCAGTCGATTCTCTGCCCCTGTTCAAATCTATGCACAAGACCTTCTTGTGTGCGTATGAGTGACTGCCGGTCTGAAATAAATATGCCCACTGTTTTTGCACCACGTCTTGAGTTTTGGTTGCTTTTAAGCTCTTCTACACAAATCCACATTATACTTTGCCTTGGGGGGCTGTGCGGTTCGACCGAACGCCACCTTTTTCTCGCCATCTTTGTTTCAGCTGCCACCAGTGTGCTGGCCTCTGTCTACGGCTTCGTGCGCAGCGTGCTGTGCGTGGCGCTGCTCTACGGCTTCTGCTACGGGGCACTGACGGTGAGCTCTCACGCGCAGCGTCGGCTGAGTGGCAAGTGAATGAACGGACCGATACGTTAAACTATAAACTAAACTACTAAACTGTTTTTTTGTATTTTACCCAGAAAGATTCACTGAGTTTATATAGCGCTTTTTTTTAGAGAACTGACCTGGATATCACAAATGATAGCTCAACAAAGTGGCTTATCATTTGGAAATGTATAGCAGCCAAATTCTCTAAACGCCTATTTCTAAATGTGGAGGGAAAAACCGAAGGACCCAGAGTTAACATCTCGCCACCGGTAAAGGAAGATACAGCTAAAAAACTAAGCAAAAGGCCATTTAAATTATTTAGAATCCATAATGCTCCACAACAATGAAAAATAATTTCGCATACAAAAAAATAAGCAGCTTTTTTCATCGATATTTTACCAAGGCTGTTTCTCGTGCTGCTCGTCATACGCCCGTATCTTTGTTAATTAGCAAATACACATTACAGTTGCAGTCAAGCGAGTCGTCGTAACGATTGAATATTGTGAACACAGCAACGCCACGAGAGGACCCAAACACGGCTGAATGTGGCGCTGGCCACTCCACCTTGCGGTCTGTGCCGGCCTTGGTTGGTGTTCGCCGACAACTTTCCCCCCAGCAGGTGCTGTAGGATGACGGGTTGTGTGCGTGGGTGTTGATGTGTTTTGCATGTGCTGCGCGCTTCCTGCAGCAAACGTGGGACTCGCAGCACATCCCCGTGCTGTTCTCCGTGTTCTGCGGGCTTCTTGTGGCCCTTTCATACCACCTGAGCCGGCAGAACAGCGACCCCACTGTCCTCTGGTGCGTATGCCAGTGCCCTGGACATTCCATGACATCAGTCCGTAAGTCGCAGGTTTAATGCTGGACCTGCCAGACACAAATGGTAGGGTAGCCTAGTTCACAACTTTGAGTGAATTTGTGTCAGCGTTTTCAATAAGGGGAGTTGTACTACATAAACGTGTGCGAGAGACGTTCTAGTAAATCGTTCTGGCGAATGATGCGTTTCACTTCGCTTTAAGCATTCAGTTCTCACGTCCGCTACTTTTGTTTTCACCATTGACCCCGCTTCTACGATGATGCCCACGGCTATTGGGTGCCGCGATGGGGAGATGTTAACTACCTCGCCCGGTATACCGGAGGTCGTGAGTTCGATCCTGACCCTGACACGTGTATTTTTGGAGTTTGCATGTTCTGCCCATGGTTGTGTAGCTTTTTTCTCCAGGTCTTCCCTCCACATTTAGAAACGTGTGTTTAGAGTATTCGGTTGCTATACATTTCCACATGACGAGCCACTTTGTTGAGCTATCATTTGTGGACAGGTCGCTTCTGAAAAAGAGCTCAGTAGGCCTCACCTGGTAAAATAAGAATACTCGTTGGTTCTTTCGGTAAAGTCACGTAGGTAGAAATAAAACAAAATAAATCACGACGTTTCGGACGCAACACAAGCGCCCGTCTTCAGGTGACAATCTCGATAGTCGCGATGTCTGCTGCGACCATTAACTTTGCACTATAATCCAACATGCTAATCTAAGTTAATTTCCTTTAACATGCCACGCTATTTATTACCTTTACACTATAATACCCCATTAACACTACTTCGGCTACCTTTGTTCTCAAAACGTGTATAAACTCTTGCTGGTAACAGCTTCTCTTCACAAGGCAGCGGACATCGTGCGGCTCGCAGCAGGCATCGCGGCTATCGCGATTATCACCTGGAAGACGATGACTTGTGTTGCGTACGAAACGTCTTGATTTATTTTGTTTTATTTCTACCTTCGTGACTTTACCGAAAGAACCAAAGAGTATGGATTCCTGCAGCCACGAAAGCATTCAAGTCAAGATTGAAATAAGGATAGTTTGGTTCAGTTTTTTGTTTAGTTTAGTCTGTCCAGTTCTAAAGCTCTCACCGTGTTATGAATCAAGTGTTTTGTTGCCGTGCGGCGTCACACACAGGTCACTCATTCAGTCGAAGCTTTTGCCCGAAGAGCCAGCAGACAACCCCGAGGAACCACTGCAGGAGATGAAGGACCCCCTTCCGGACAAACTCAAGCAGTCTGTGGTGCGTTTGCATCGTCAACTTCATCATTAACATCATCATCATCCTATTGATCATCAGTGATTGTGCATAGTTGACAGTCTGGCATTGCCACTGCCCATCCTTGCCCTGTGTTGTCGCTCATCAATTTCTGCGCATGTGTTTGGACACCTGTGAAACCTACTGGGTTACTTGTGAAAAAGAGCTTCATAGCTCATTGGATTCCTCCAATCTAAAATATTCTTATTCTGTATCTCCTGTAGCATCCCTCATCTGTTCCCAGGTCTCTGCTGTGTCTCACCACTGACTGTGTTGTCTCCGCTGTATCCTGTGCTGTCTCACCACTGACTGTGTTGTCTCCGCTGTATCCTGTGCTGTGTCTCACCACTGACTGTGTTGTCTCCGCTGTATCCTGTGTTGTGTCTCACCAATGCCTGTGTTGTCTCCGCTGTATCCTGTGCTGTGTCTCACCATTGACTGTGTTGTCTCCCCAGTATCCTGTGCTGTGTCTCACCACTGATTGTGTTGTCTCCGCTGTATCCTGTGTTGTGTCTCACCACTGACTGTGTTGTCTCCCCAGTATCCTGTGCTGTCTCACCACTGCCTGTGTTGTCTCCCCAGTATCCTGTGCTGTGTCTCACCACTGCCTGTGTAGTCTCCGCTGTATCCTGTGCTGTGTCTCACCACTGCCTGTGTTGTCTCCGCTGTATCCTGTGCTGTGTCTCACCACTGACTGTGTTGTCTCCGCTGTATCCTGTGTTGTGTCTCACCACTGACTGTGTTGTCTCCGCTGTATCCTGTGCTGTGTCTCACCACTGCCTGTGTTGTCTCCGCTGTATCCTGTGCTGTGTCTCACCACTGCCTGTGTTGTCTCCGCTGTATCCTGTGCTGTGTCTCACCACTGCCTGTGTTGTCTCCGCTGTATCCTGTGCTGTGTCTCACCACTGCTTGTGTTGTCTCCGCAGCATCCTGTGCTGTGTCTCACCACTGACTGTGTTGTCTCCGCTGTATCCTGTGCTGTGTCTCACCACTGCTTGTGTTGTCTCCGCAGCATCCTGTGCTGTGTCTCACCACTGCCTGTGCTGTCTCCGCAGTATCCTGTGCTGTGTCTCACCACTGACTGTGTTGTCTCCGCTGTATCCTGTGCTGTGTCTCACCACTGACTGTGTTGTCTCCGCTGTATCCTGTGCTGTGTCTCACCACTGACTGTGTTGTCTCCGCTGTATCCTGTGCTGTGTCTCACCACTGCCTGTGTTGTCTCCATTGTATGCTGTGCTGTGTCTCACCGCTGGCCGTGTGTCTCCGCTCTATATCCTATGCTGCTGTACGCGTCTCTCAGACATTGTCCGTCGTTTGTTGGAGCCCGTGCCTCTTTTGTTGCCTCTTGTTGTCCCCTTGTGTTGTTGACTGTTTGCCGTTTGTCTCGCCTGGTGCCGCCGCGTTGCCTCCTCCGCTTCTCTTACCCTCCGGCCACGCGTGTCCCTCGTGAGCAGAGCGAGCGCCTCCAGTCGGATGTCATCGTGTGCGTCGTCATGGCTGTGCTGGCGTTTGCCGTGCACGTGAGCACCGTCTTCGTGGCGCTTCAGGTTCGTTTTTCGGGACTGATTTGCGTTGCCGGCAAGGGGACTTTGTCAACTTCTTGCAAAAAATTGAACAAGCAATTCGATCGATTCCGTGTCGGCGGTGGTGGCGCGCGAGCGTGAAGGACATCACATTCGTGAATGATAGTCTCATAAGGAGATATATATGTGTCCTGGCACATATATGTCCTGTGAAGAAGAGCTATTACCCGAAATGTTTCCTATTATATATTTTTACTTTGAAGCCACACACAGTGTTATCTATATATATGAAAGTGTTGAATATTGTGCTCTTAAAAACTGACCAACTTGATCTCAAGAGTGTTGCCTGAAAGCAGAGCAAAGAAGTACTGTTAATGACTATTAACGAATGTGCAAATGTGCCCTTTGTGCCCCCGTCCGCTTCCGTACTTGGTAATAAAAATTTTCTGAAGACAAACCCACTACCCCCCCCCCCCACCCCCCGCATGTAGGAAAGCGTTTCACAATCCATGCGTATGCGCGATTTTTCCCGGTGCTGTACGGACAGCCGGTGCTGAGCCTGGTGCTGTACGGGTTGACGGGCGGCGTGGGCATCCTGGTGCACTACGTGTTGCCCCAGCTGCGCAAGCAGCTGCCCTGGTACTGCTTCGCTCACCCGCTGCTCAAGACGCGCGAGTACAGCCAGTTCGAAGTCAGAGGTAAGATGGCTGTAGCTCGGAGTGTCTTGTTCACCCCTCCCCCCCAGATCCCGGCCGGACTTTTTGGTAACGTGCTCAGTGACGGTAATGTTAAAATGCGTGGATATTTCGATCTGCCGAAATGCCTCTCGTCAGCGAATAATAAGGGGGGCATTTGGTGTATTCGTTTTATTGTGAATTGTCACCTATGACCAATCTCATCACATCCCTCAAATATGTAGTACAACGACAACAATAATAAATAAATAATACATCCTGCATCGATTTTTTTTTTTATACCGAGCACTGGTTGTGTAAAGCGCGGGCGTCAGCGTTAGTTTGTCGCTCTCGTGATCGTCGCCAACCCCACCCGTGTCCGCGCACTCTGTGTTTGCAGAACCAGCGCAGCTCATGTGGTTTGAGAAGTCACAGGTGTGGCTGCAGTTCCTGGAGAAGAACTTCCTGTACCCGGCCGTGGTGCTGAGCGCCATGACCAACGACGCGAAGACGATCGCCAGCCCCGACCGCCTGGGCCCTTAGTGCGTGAACCTCACAGACAACGCCGCTCAACCTGCGACGGCACTTTTTACATTTGCAGCAAGTGCGGTGGAACGTCACACTCTTACCCTTTGCCGTGATTGCGATTGTAATTGTGTCACCGAGAAGGAATTACAAACACGGCGTCATTATAATTTTGGCCAACTGCCGCTGCTCTGATTTTAATTGAAGCCACGTCCAGCTTGGATTAGTACAAATGGACAAATCTGAGCTTTACTGTCCGGTGGTCGGTTGCGTGAAGCGAGTGAACTTTGCTTTTGCTTTATTATTTTCTACCAGTTCAAATCCAAACTGGGCTTTCGGAAGCAATGCAAGAGCTCTATGTTCACTCAGGCTTTCAGCTGTTCACCCACACTTTCAGCTTACGGCTGTGTTTCTGGGAAAGCATAAACCTTCATTCTATTTAACTGCCCTATAACCCTGGTCTCTCTCCCACTTCAGTAAAAAAAAAAAATTCCTTGCCGTGGTTATCACACCTGATGATGGTTGCTTGTGTTGCAATCGAAACGTCGTGATTTATTTATTTCTATAATTTTTTAAATATGTATTTATTTTTTATTTTTTCACCTACGTGACTTTACCGAAAGAACCAAAGAGTATAAGCATAAACCTTATTATCCCACTTATATAAGGTGCTTTTAGACCTACGAGGGCAGCGGCACAGCCCCGCTCCAGCATGTGAATAACCAAACTTCACTCGCCCCATTCAGCATTGAATTGTCACGCCACTCACCCTGACAATTCATTGCGACCCAGCTCGGCCCAACCGTTAATCCCATTCGCTCCTCTCTGTGTGTGCCGCTTCCCCGTCCGTCCTGCGTGCCGCCACCGCAGTGTGGGGGCGCTGGCGGTGGTGGTGGCCGGCATGAAGCTGCTACGCTTCTCCTTCAGCAGCCCCACCTACCAGTACGTGACGCTCATCTTCACCGTGCTCTTCTTCCGCTTCGACTACCCGGCGTACTCGGAGACCTTCCTGCTCGACTTCTTTTTCTTCTCCATCGTGTTCAGCAAGGTGAGTGAGTGTCCGGTTGCGTGGGCGCGCTAGTGACGTGCGTACAAGCGGAGTTCCACCGTATTAAATTTCGAGAATTGAATTATTTTATTTTTATTATTTTATTTCCATTCTACGTGACTTTACTGAAGGAAGCAAGAAGATGATTCCACCGTATTGTTATTAGACTTGTTTTGAATTTCTGCCCATGACCGAATCACTGGCAATGCACCCAGTCTGGGGAGATCTCGGGAGCCCCAATCTCATCACATCCCGCAAATGTATAATAACTTTTTAAAAAGCGAATTCCTACATTCATTTTTTTATACTTAGGACTGGTTGTTTTTGTGAAGCGGGGGGTGGGGAGGGAAGTGGGGGGTCGTGGAGGGGAGGAGGGGCAGAGTTTGTTTGGCCCTCACGCGATCGTTGCGAACCCCACCCGTGTCCCTCTCGTGTGCCATGCCGGCCTTCATAGGTGCTCGCTAACAGCACTCCACCCAACAATCTGTTCAGGCTATATGGAAGATCTTTCTCTGTGGCGTGCAAACCCAAATGTTTGAACCAGCAACCTCCGGATTGCAAGTCCAGTGTCATAATCATTACATCATGGCAAACATCCTTATCTGAATGAATGTGCGAATGACTTGAGATATCGTTGATGGAGGAGAGTTTATGGTTTTCCGGAGTGGCAGCTGATGGCGAATGTTTATCTGCCCCCAGCTCTGGGACCTGTGGCACAAGCTGCGCTTCGTGTTCACGTACATCGCGCCGTGGCAGATCACGTGGGGTTCCGCCTTCCACGCCTTTGCCCAGCCCTTCGCCGTGCCGCGTATCCTTCCTGGCCTCTCGCCTGTTCGTTCAACCTCTGGGCTAATTTCGTCTGCAGAGTCAGGCTCACTTGAATCAATGCTGTGGACATCTGTGAGAATACACCGGGCATCTTTGAAAATTCTGGACATTTGTGAAAAAGAGCTTCATGGCTCTTCGGATTCCTCCAGTCTAAATTACTCAGATTCTGAATCAATGCTGGTGAACTGCCATACATGAATGGTAAGGACCTATCCCTAAGATCCAAGATCGATGCAAAATTATAATGCATTACTCAATATGATCGTAGTGTTCAGGTCAACTTATTGCTTGTCTGGGCTGTGAATGTAATTCACGTCCCCGAGAAATGAAAGTGTGCCTGTGGAACTGATTACCTGTCATGCACATGCATGGGGGAAATTCTGTATTACTATTGTGGGGGCCGACGTCCACCCCACCGCCCTCGCTAGGCAGGTGGGGCGTGACGTCCGCCCCTTCCGCTCCCTCCACCGCGTCCGTCAGCTCCCGCCAGGCCCCCGCCGACCGAGTGATCGGGCCCCCCGCGCTAGCGCCCTCTCTGAGGGACATACTCGTGCTGCTGGCGCACAGCCGCACGGCGTTAACCCACACACCCGCGTACACCACAGCTAACGCTAACGCAGCGTACAGCGGCACACTCGCGCGCACATCTGCAAGCGATTACCTCAACGAGCGCCCGTGCACACCGCAGCTATCGTTCAAAAATCCAGGGTTACGTTATCCTGCGCGGCCAATCGTGCGCCTACCTGTGACTCTCGCTCGGTTTCCTTTCCTTGCATGGAGCGCTGCGACGGTTACTTCTGCGACCTATTGTCTATCCACCCGTACTAATTAATGTCTTGCTCATCCTGTTTAATCCGGAAGGACGTCCGGCTGGTGAAGAATACACACCCTGCTAGCGTGTATTCGGTCTGACATCATGGTCTGCTCTGCTTGCTTAATATTCCACCCCAGCCCCCCACCCCCCCCCAATGTCGTGCATGACTCATTGCGGCTGGCCCGGTGAACCTTTTTGGGCCCACACAATTTTAAGTCAACTCGGGGACACCGCAATGTGACCTGTCCTGCGAGGATCGGCCAATCTCCTGGCACCGGGAAACCGTGGGACTTTCCTCCTAGGGTCCTTTCGGATTGAGACCCGTTGTGCCAGGCAATCCCCCGCCAGGACACTACTAAGTGTGTGCGCTGCGTGTGTGTGCTCATTGTGGGGCCCAGGGGGGAGTCACGGCGCTTGCAGAGTGCTCTGAGGCCCTGGCACCACACTATCACTTAATGAGATTTACATAGGATAAAGGATAAAGCAACTTGGAAGTTGACAGCTGGTAGATGTTGTAGTTGGGAAACGGGGGTGAGTATGTGTGATTGCACATGGCGGGATGGAGGGAGGGCAGGTTACCTAGATGGGCATTTGGAGCGACACCCAGAGGTCGTTGACCAATTAGATTTCGGAGGTCCGGTGTCAACATCTTGAGAGGTCTAGCAGAAGTAAGGAAGCAATATCTCGGTATGGTGGTCCCAACGATATCGACTGTGGTGGGACCTCTTGATCTTGACGTGAGGTTACATATTTAGCCACCTTGCGAAGTAAAAAATAAACGCAGAGTTGAGGAATCCTGTCACCAAGAGGCGTGCGAGAGATGCTGACGTTTCAAGAGAGTTTCTTTTTGTTTAACCTTAACGTGCGCCCGCAGACTCGGCCATGCTGTTTGTGCAGGCCGTCATCTCGGCCGTCTTCTCAACACCATTGAACCCGTTCCTGGGCAGTGCCATTTTCCTCACGTCATACGTGCGGCCCGTGCGCTTCTGGGAGCGAGACTACAAGTGAGCGACTGCCCGCTGCCTCCTGAGTTGTCCCTTTCACAGGAGCGTGTCCGGTGTGGTACTTGGGCAGTTCGCGTCAATTCTACCACCAACCAGCACCAGCACCAACGTCACCACGAATACCATCGTCACGGCCAATACTCAAAATACCACCGCTCCCGCCATGGTCAACGCCGCCAACACCATCACCGCTATCATGACCCCCAAATACCATCACGAGCACCACCGCTATCGCACCAGCACCACCACCACCACCAACATTACCCTTGTCATTGGCAGCACCAGCCCTGCCCCCTGTTCCACTGAATTAAGATTGTAATTGCACACTACCATACGGCGATTGTGCAATCGCGATCGGGTGAGTACCGCGTTTACGTGCATCGTGGGTTGCGGTGTCTTAATTGTGGACCCGTTTCTATCCATGCTTCTTGAATCGTTGTAGTTAATGGAACCTTTGGCAATGACTTGGTAATGTTAACGACCTGTGACACGACATCGGCTTATGAGCAGCTCCCTCTTTCCCCCCCCCCCGTCTGTTGTCCACAGCACCAAGCGGGTCGATCACTCCAACACTCGGCTTGCCACGCAGCTTGACCGCAGTCCCGGTGAGCAGCACAGCCGCCCATTCTCCCCGCCCCCGCCGTTTCCTGTCACTGGCACACGCACGTGCGGGGTGGTGATCGCCTGCCCCTGGTTATCCTAAAATGAGTGTAAATTGATATTTGCCAGACGAAACACATGTTTTTTTTAGTTCCGTTATTAGGAAGCCACTGGAGCTATGCACTTTTAAATATAACTTGAAAACTAATTTCTTTAGTACTGCTTTTTGTGTTTAGTTTGTTGTCCTTCCCGCGAACCTCCGATTGTCTAAGTACAGTGCGAAAGAAGTTCAACATATATAATGCGAACATCATAACAGTTGGAAATTTCTGGACCGCCCTGCCCTGTGAAGTTCGTAGGTCCACCTCTGGTGGATACAGTCCACAAATTAATTTCACACGACCCGCGGCCACACGAGGCCTACCAGTTTTAAACGGCCCTCACAATCGATGTTCATCCGTGACTGCATGCATTTTAGCCGCGCTGATCGGTGGCGGTGCGCATGCCTGTAATCGATCACTCGAGGGGCGAGTTGGTGTATCGCACACAAAAGTTGTGATGCTCCCCCTTTCATTTGTTGGTGTAAATATATGGAACAATTGTAGCAATTCATTGGTTGAAATGTATTTTCACAGTCACGATGCATGCATCAAAATATGTGTGTGTGTGTGTGTATAGCATAGCTTTTTATTTCAGTCAATGTCAGGTAAGTGCAAATTAAACCTTTTGGCTAATGGGCCGAAGGAGATAGAACAACCAAGGTATAGCATTTGAAACAGACAGTGCAATCAAAGTATGTATGTTGAACATCTTTTGCGCACCGTACTTAGCCAAGCATGCTCATCGGAGATGCGAACATGAATTGTGACCAAATCTAGACTATTCATTGGTCCTGGGGGTTTGGATATCTACCCATCTGTCACCCGCTGTGCCACATCCTGACGATTTGCTCATTTAAATAAAACCGCAGGTGCGGACGATAACAACCTCAACTCCATCTTCTACGAGCACCTAACGCGCTCACTGCAGCACAGCTTGTGTGGCGACCTGACCCTCGGCCGCTGGGGAAACTACACGACGGGCGACTGTTTCATCCTGGCGTCAGACTACCTCAACGCCTTCATCCACCTCATCGAGATCGGCAATGGGCTCGTCACCTTTCAGCTGCGCGGCCTGGAGTTCAGAGGTCGGTTGTGCGTGCTGCGTGTGCTGTGCGCGTGTAAGTTCGTGTACGTGTACTGTGTGTGCTTGCGATAAGGAAGCGCTCGCAGTATTCGAAGATTCACGACGCCAATGTTGCGAGTCGAAGTTCCCAAATTTCCCTGGATAATAGGTTTAGTTGATGATTTTATGAACATAGAATAAATGTAGAAACTCTCTAGGTCTTCAACCGCTCATTTAAATGTTACATAAGCTTTGTGAAGCGTCTTGATTTGCGGCGGCATCTGGACACTTGAACAAGTCGAACTTGTGATCGCATAACGGAGGAGTGGACCGTGCGCTTCCTCAGGCACCTATTGTCAGCAGCGGGAGGTAGAGGCGATCACGGAGGGCGTGGAGGAGGACGAGGGCTGCTGTTGCTGTGAGCCCGGCCACCTGCCGCACGCTCTGTCCTTCAACGCCGCGTTCGGGCAGCGCTGGCTCGCCTGGGAGGTGTCCGTGGTGAAGTACGTCCTCGAGGGGTACAGCATCACGGACAACAGCGCCGCCACCATGCTGCAGGTGTTCGACCTGCGCAAGATCCTGCTCACGTACTACGTCAAGGTGAGCCGTCGAATGGGCAGCGGTTGCGGGTGGGGGGGGCACAGGTGTGTGGCGTACCTGCCGGGGGGTGGGGGGGGGGGGGTTCGTGGGTTTCAAGGAGGGCGCAACACTCAAATAAAACCGCGTGGCTGTGGAAGCGTTAATCCTTTCCAGAAGTAAAGGGGGCCATGCTCGAGGGAGTGTGGCACAGTTTGGTGCCAGCTGCCGTGGAGTGCGGTTGTGCCGCTACAATTCTCTGTGGTGAAGACACTTATTTAAAAACAACGGCGCTATGCGTCTCCGAATAGAATTGACGCGAACTGGTCGCGCGTTCCGAGATTCGGAGGTGAACGCGACCCCCACCCCCCCTGCAATTTGCAGACGTCTTGGAAAGTGTTAACAGATGGTTTCTCTGTAAGCGATCACCATTGGCCGCTGCACCCTCCCCTCCTAAGCACGGGTCACCCGCGTTCCGCGTGCAGAGCATAATCTACTACGTGGTGAGCTCGCTGCGGCTGGAGGAGTGGCTGGAGAGCGAGGTGGTGCGCGAGGGGCTCCGCCCGTGCTGCGAGCGTGGCTACGCCGACGTCGACCCGACCTTCAACCCCAACATCGACGAGGACTACGACCATCTGCTGTCGGGCGTCTCGCGCCAGAGCTTCTGCAACGTCTACCTCGAGTGGATCCAGCACTGTGCTAGCCGGCGCGAGCAGGCGAGATTGCAACCTGTGCACCCATTTGTTGATTTTTTCACCATCCGTGCTGATCTGATGGAGTACTTATTTAATCAATCGAAAAGCCTTGAAAAATGTAATCCCGATCTCGATTAAATTTTTCCCATCAGCCCTCCATGGTCAATACTACTTGTCCCCTGTGGATATTGGTCCCATCACAGGAATGTAGAATTTTCACATGCAGTGAATTAGACAACACACAATATAGTACAAAACGAGACTTATAGTATACAGGAGATGGCATGTGAGATAAAAAAGGTCCTGCTCACAAATGAATGGTGATCCCAATTTCGTTATGGAGGCTGTTCACAAGCTCCACTCAATTCCCTACACTCTCGAATTCCATGTTGCCGTCGCTGCCAGAAATCTTCAAAACTAAACTTGTGCTTCCCGAAGGCACCGTTCTCGCATTCCGGAGAATATGAACTAGGGTATAGACTGGAGCGTGTAGATGGCCACCAATGGAAACCAGGCTCAGTGTAATCACTAAATCCTTGTCACGTGGCGATCTATTGAGCCTGGCATGGAGGATGAGCCATTACATCCAAAAGATTGTGGGACTTCTGATAAAAACCAATAATTATAAACACACGAATTAATAAATCAATGGGTTAGTGAATGAATGAATGTTGCTGTGTGGGCTGGGGAGCAGGCGGTGGATAGTGCCAAGGACTCGAACCTCGTGACTCTCTGCTTCGGCCTCTGCGTGCTGGGACGCCGAGCCTTGGGCACCGCCTCCCACCACATGTCCTCCAGGTGAAGGTTATCTGGACAATCGACTGACTGACTGGTCCCACGAGGGATGTCTAGACAATAGACTGACAGACCGGGCACTGACGGGGCCTCTGAGACAATAGACCGGTAGACCAGACTCGCATAAGTGCCGTTGCATTTTACAACGCGATGGTTGCAACTGTCACGAGTGCTTGTGTCCCAGCACTGATGCCGCAGTGCGTGTGGGCGGGTGCAGCAGCCTGGAGCCCTTCCTGTACGGGCTCCATGCCCTCTTCAAGGGCGACTTCCGCATCACGTCGCCCAAGGACGAGTGGATCTTCGCCGACATGGAACTCTTGCGCAAAGTGGTGGCCCCGGGCGTGCGCATGTCACTCAAGTTACACCAGGTCAGCAGACCGAGGCCTGTCTCCTGGTCTAACCCCATTCTTTGAACCTGCTTCTTGGTTAAACTCTCACTGGGGGTGATTGAAAAGTGTGTGGCCTGACAGGAAGTATAATGGTTGACCTCACCTTAATGAAACTTATTTTTCTACCTAGGCGCCCCCCCCTCTTTTGAATCTCTGGTCAATATGTGTTCCAAGGCTTTTTAATCGCCAGCCTCAAAAGATTCCTCATCTCGCTCATGAGATGACCTGGTCACGGCACGCGTCCCCCTGTTGCTAGATCGCCACGCTTTCTCCTTCGCCAGGACCACTTCACGTCCCCGGACGAATACGAGGACCCGGCAGTTCTGTATGACGCCATCTGGAACCACGAACGCGAGCTCGTCATCTCGCACGAGGGCGACCCCGCGTGGCGGAACGCCGTGCTCTCCAACCGCCCTTCGCTGCTGGCGCTGCGCCACGTGCTGGACGACGGCTCGGACGACTACAAGGTCATCATGCTCAATCGCCGCTACCTGAGCTTCCGCGTCATCAAGGTGGGGCGGCGGCGGGGGGCGGTTGGCGGGGTGGGGGCCCGTCCGAGGTGGGACCGGGTGGCATAAATAACCGCGCGTGAAACCCATGAATTTATCACGAGCAGCGGCACATAGCTATCGCGTAAGCAGGTGGTGCAAGTGCACTGGTGGCACATGGGTTGGAGGGCACCCGATCATTGGGCTATGAAGGGGGAGGAAATTGGGCATGGAACCCAATTTAATACCTCGCATCAATTCCTATAATAATGATAATTATATTTTAACGTGCACAGTAATTGCTCGCTCTCGTGTAGAGAGAATGAGACTTGAGGAACCACACACAAGCAGGAAGCCGTTGCCAACAGTCGCCTAAGCTCTGCAGTCCTCTATATATTAAAGTTTTGTTGGCCAATTAATGAATGTTTACATGTGGAGGGAAACAAGAGCACCCGGAGAAAAGCCACGTGTGCGAGGGGGAAACACTTTATCCCATACAGACGGAACAGGGTGGGGGGTCTGCATTTTTTCAGTGACGCCAACCTACACTGCGCCGCTGTTCACGAGCGTAAGGAATCACTCTTCAAAATCTCTGAATCGCTACGCTCGCGACGTCGATTCCCGGCAGGTGAACCGCGAGTGCGTGCGGGGCCTGTGGGCCGGCCAGCTCCAGGAGCTCGTGTTCCTGCGTAACCGCAACCCGGAGCGCGGCAGCATCCAGAACGCCAAGCAAGCGCTGCGCAACATGATCAACTCGTCGTGCGACCAGCCCATTGGATACCCCATCTACGTGTCCCCTCTCACCACCTCGTACGCCGGCACGCACCAGCAGCTCCGCTCCGTCGCCGGAGGTGCCATCACCGTCGGCAGCATCGGACACTTCTTGGCTGCCACCTGGCACAGGTGTGTGTGTGATTGTGTGATTGTGTGCGTGGGGAGATGTAGTGTAGCGGTGAGCGCGCTGCGCTACGAACTCGGCGAGCCGGGTTCCATTCCCGCTCACGGCCACCAACACCAGTGACGATTATTTGAACCGTTCCTGGGCCTCCCCTAGGTCGACTGAACCTCAAATCATTATCTAGTGCCGTGTGTAAACATAACCACGGGGGAGACAAAGGCGGCTGGGCGTGGTGCTGGCCACCCACCCCCTCGTGGGCCGTGCCAACCTTCATAGGTGTTGCTAACAACACTTGCCCCAAAAATCTGTTGAGGCTATACGGGTGGTCTTTGTCTTGTGTGCGGTGTGAGAGTGTGAATGAATACCCGCGTGTGTGTGTGTGTGTACACGTAGATTCGTGTTTGCGCGTGGGGATTTGTGCCGCAGTGGTTAGCTCACTGCACTCTGAACCTGATGACCTGAGTTTGATTCCCAACCACAGCCAACATCTGTGCCGAGTGGTATCCGAAATAATCCTGGGTTGACTTGGTCTTGATTGAGTACTTTGTTCATTGTGAGAACATCAGCACTTGGGATGCAAACACAGCCAGGAATGGTGGAGGCCACACTATCCCACTTAATAAGTGCACTTGCCCCAACAGACTATATAGGTTGTAATAGAGAATAATGTCTTGGTATGTGTGTGTCTATGTGAAGTATGTATCAATGCGTGTGTGTGATAACCTATAACCATCGGTGTCTTTTGAACCTTTAGCAAGTATTCCTCCTGCCATGTGTCGTATAATTGCCTGGCACAAACACCGTGATGACATCACTATTTACATTGGTACCAGTGATTTTCAGTTTTCAGTTTCATTTATTAGGTATAGCCCTGAGAGGCATTCGGCTCTTGAATCGGGTGCAACCGCAACAAACAAAAAACAAAAACATGAACAAGAAAACATCTTAAAGTGACTATGTGACTGTGCAAACAGAAAATCCAGGAAAAAACAGCAAAATATTCCTGAAAAAGCACCGTACACCAACGCTGTGTGCAAAAATCCCAGTGGGATGCAAAGTCAAACAACAACAACAACAACCACAAGACAACTTAGATTAAGGCCATCAGTCTTAACTCCGTATTACAGTGAATTTACAGAGTAGGAAGCACATATTTGCACATCTATCATTATCGCTTATGTGCTTACCCATAATATCCTGGTCTCATGCATGACCTCATCCAGCGAGGCCACATCAGTACACCTAGATTCAGTGCACCTTGCCTGCCCCAAACACCGTGTCGATGTTACCACAAACGGTATATCGGAAGCCCGTTGCATTGATTTTGTTGCATATTTTAGAGAGCCTTGACAATTCTGCCATCGACCCGATTGCTTCTTGGTTCGGTGTAAAGTTTTTTTTCCCGCGGCTCTTGCCGCGCGCAGGATGCGGAAGGGGTGCGGCGCCGGGTGCAACAGTGGCGGAAACGTGGACGACTCGGATTGCTGCGTCGGGGGGCTCTCGTCCATTGGGGGAGGTGGCGGCGCCGTGGGCCCAAATCCTGGGGGGAACCCCTCCCAGGGGAACGCGGGGGGGCACGCTGGCGTCAACGCCCCTCCAACCGGCAGCCACGCCGCCATGCAGCCCGTCATAGGGCAGCCCGTGCCAGGTGTGTGTAAGGGGCTGGTGATCCGTTTTAATGACTGCACACACAAAAATGAACCCTCGGTAAAATATTCTCATGCTCTTTGTTCTTGGGTGCGCGCGCGCGTGATTTTTCTCTGGCTCCGTCGGCCGCGGCTGCCGAGTGTTCACCCACTGCCGTCACCCGCCTGTGCTGCGCAGGTTCCCTGGGGCAATCCCTGCAGGCTGGGCTGGTACGCGCGTCTCCCCAGCGAGGCGCGGGCGTGTCGCAGGGCAGCCAGACGTCCGTGCTGTGGTACGGCGCCGGCGGAGGAGCAGGCAGCGCTGGCGGCGGCGGCCGGCAGCCCTCGTCGCTCCGTTCGGGCGTCGTCCCGGGCTCCTGGTGCCACTCGTCGTTCCGCAACGCCTCCGAGGGCGCCGGCCTCGCGTCGCTGTGCACGCCCGAGATGGTGGGCGGCGGCGGAGGAGGCGGAGGAGGCGGAGGAGGAGGCGGAGGAGGCGGCGGCGGCGGCGGAGCCAACCGGTCGAGCCTGGCGTCTTCGAGCAGCTCGACGCTCAGCAGCGTGATCCTGCCGCTCGGCAAGCGCAGCACGTCCACGCTGGCCACCATCGCGGCGGGGTTGCTGGCTCCCGAGGCCAGCGCTAGCCTCGCGGGCAACGCCGGCAGCAACGCCGACTCGCAGTCCAACGCGAGCACGGGCACGGGCTCCAGCGCAGGCTCGGGCAGCGGGTGCGGGGGGCTGCCATTGTCTGCGGCGGCTGCGGTCAGTGGTATTGGTGGTGGCGGTGGGACTGGCGGATCGGCAGGTTTGGCCTTGGCGAGTTTTGGCGGAACACCGCCTAGGAGGGAAACCGTTGGTGCCAGAGTTCAGGTGAATGAACAGAAGGTGGTTTGGTAATTATGTGTGTGCACGTGAGAAACAGTTGTTTTCTAAGGGGGGTAGGTGTCCCATTCGTTAGCGTGCCGCGCTACGAATCTGGCGACCGGAGTTCGATTCCCACTCACGGCCATCACCAGTGACGATTATCTGAACCGGTCCTGGGCCTCCTTTAGGGCGACCCAGCTTCACATTAGTACCTGGTGAGATGTTGGGAGACAAAGGCGGCCGGGTGTAGTGCTGGCCATCCAACGTCCCCTCTTGTGCGTGCCAGGCTTCATAGGTGCTCGCGAACAGCATTTGCCCCAACAGTCTGTTACGGCTATTCGGGGGAATATTTGTCTTTGTGAGAAACAGTGGTTTTTCGTTCTTAAATATTGCATGTACAGTGAGGGAAAAAGTATTTGATCCCCTGCTGATTTTGTACGTTTTCCCACTGACAAAGAAATGCTCAGTCTATAATTTTAATGGTAGGTTTATTTAAACAGTGAGAGACAGAATAACAACAAAAAAATCCAGAAAAACGCATGTCAAAAATGTTATAAATTGATTTGCATTTTAATGAGGTCATTGTCATGCTGGGTAATCCAGCATGACAATGACCCAAAACACACGGCCAAGGCAACAAAGGAGTGGCTCATAAGAAGCATGTTAAGGACCTGGAGTGGCCTAGCCAGTCTCCAGACCTTAATCCCATAGGAAATCTGTGGAGGAAGTTCGAGTTGCTAAACGTCAGCCTCGAAACCTTAATGACTTCGAGAATATCTGCAAAGAGGAGTAGGACAAAATCCCTCCTGAGATGTGTGCAGACCTGGTGGCCAACTACAAGAAACGTCTGACCTCTGTGATTGCCAACGAGGGTTTTGCCACCAAGTACTAAGTCATGTTTTGCAGAGGGGTCAAATACTTAATTTCCTCATTAAAATGCAAATCAATTCATAACATTTTTGACATGCGTTTTTCTGGATTTTTGTTGTCGTTATTCTCTCTCACTGTTCAAATAAACCTACCATTAAAATTATAGACTGAGCATTTCTTTGTCAGTGGGAAAACGTACAAAATCAGCAGGGGATCAAATACTTTTTTTTTCCCTCACTGTAGTAAGTTCACGTAACTCGTATAGCAACTATGGGCACGACATTGACCATGGTGGGGTGGGGGGGGGGTGTTTCTTTGTCTCTGTGCATCAGATTGTGGATGTGAGCCAGGTGCTGGACTCGGTGCATGCCTCCAAGCGCCGTGAGCTTCAGTGGCCGGACGACTCGGTGCGGGCGCGCGCTGGCCGGGCTGCTTGGCGCGACTGGAGCCCCCAGGATGGCATGGAGGGCACTGTACGTCAGCCACTGCTGCTACCACAGCCGCCACCGCCACCAAGGCCGCGGCAGCCTCCCCGCCACGCGGGCGAGGGAGACACCCCCTAGCCCCCTCCCCCTCTCGCCTTTCATGCCCAGTTATTGCGTGCCGATCCGGCTGGTATTGACATGGTGGAAATTTGCCAAAAGTCGTTTCTGTTTGTAACTCTCGCGGCGATCACCGATGTCACAGTGTCAGAGAGTGGCCTCCGGAGGTGGCGTTAAAAAGTGTAGCGTCACTTCCATTGCCCTCTAATCCATACTTGGTGGTCTCACCCCTTTTTACGTGTGGGTAAAGGAGTGTTTGTTGTTTGGCAATCGGACTTTCATTTTTGTTTTGGTTGTAAAAGCTGTGATGAGCCAAATTTACGTGAAAAACCAAAACCTTTATTTGTTTCGTGCAGTATGTACTTTAGAGAACGTGGTATAAGCGTGGGTGGCTAAACCCAGATTCTAACCCATGATCTCTGCAGTGTTAGCTGTTTGTTTTTAATACTCTTAGGGACCATAAACAGTTATTCGTATTACCCCACCGAACGTATTTCTGGCACCCCTAATACTCCTTCCCACACTACCTCATGGCAGACGTGCCCTTAACCCAATGGTTTACCCAAAGTTCACCTCTTCCCTAACGTTCTGACACTAACCCTCTTAATTGTCCACGTAACCTCTGTTCATAATGTGCTGTCTAATATAGTTTGCCTTCCCGAGCAATGTATTGAGACAACACGAGGGAGATATCCCACTAAACGACACAATGACATGGTTTGGTTCATAGGCTGGCTTTGGATCTGTCCTGTGTTTGTTTCTAATGGGAACTTCTGTGTTGTTTCACTCTGCTTTGCTGTGCATGCTTGATTGCTCGCTCTGCTTTTCCTAAAAAATCACACCTGCCTCTTTCTTTTGCACGACCGCCGATTGATTATTTTTTCTTTTAACATGTTTATAAACACGTTGCCTGGCCCCGTCTGAAATTTTCTCAACTCTTTGCTCACGGCCACACACTTCTGTCCAACACTGACCTTTAATGACTGCCTACACGCCACCTCACCACTTCCTCTACTCCATTGTTTAATTTGCTGCACCCATCCATCGCGCTGCTCGCTTTCGTACGACCTCATCCGCCACCTCTCCGCACCCTGCCCTTTTCCCCTCGGCTGGTGGTCGCCCATCCTGCCCCATCGCCTCCCCTCCCCCCCCCCCCCCCAAACTTCCGCCATCGCCTCCCCGAATCGCTGCAATCTGAGCCCCTTCCCCGCGCCTCTCCCTCCCTCGCTGCCTGCCTGCATCCGCCACCGCGCGCTGCGTTCCGACGGGCAGGTGATCCATCGCTGGGTGCCGTGCAGCCGCGACCGCGTGAGTCGCTCGCACCTGGACCGCGCCATCCTGCTACTGCAGATCAGCGATAAGTACGTGCCCATCCTAGAGAGCGGGGTCGCGGAGCTCGCCGAGAGCACGTAGCGCCACGATGGATGCCGACTTCCGACCGGTCCTTCTCCCCCCTGCTACGCCGCCACTATCAGCGCGCCATCAACTCCTCGGGAGACGCACCCTGCTCTGTGCGAAATACTGTCTCCCCTCCCCCCCCCGGCCCATCCCTCCCACCACCGCTTGCGTGCTTGCCACCACCCATGCACTGGCTGTCGAGGATTATGGGTAGCCTCGGTAAGTGTTTGGTTATCGGCTGAGACCTCTTTTGAGCCACTTGCGGGATGAATCGTTGGGAGGAAGCCGAGCCGTGCGCGGACTGCTGCGGTCATCTCCGCTGGGGGAGTGGGGCTGCCTGCCTTCGGATTGGAATCATCATCGAGCGGTGTGGTTGGCATTGAGAGCTCAGAACTTCAGGCGCCTGGTGAGCACTACCCCCTCCCACAATGACGCCGAGACTCAGCGCTCTGGACGCAGTCCAGCGTCTCAAAAATACTCGCCCAGTGCTTTCAGATTTGTGATTTGTCAATATAATCGTTTTTATGTTTTACAAACTACTGGCTGCATCCTGAGATGTCGGTGTAGAAACAGGTTTAATATATATTTTTAATTCCTGTACCAATCGCCATTAAAAAAAGAAATGAATAATGCGTTTGTAAATAAGGCACCCAAGAGGGATTCAATAGGAAACTGGGTTTATGAATATGAATTTTCACAGCACCTTCACATTTTGAGTATTTTTGCTTGAAGAAATCGGTTATTTTTCTTGTTGGTTCACAGTCTCAAAAGTTATGACTACGAAACAGCCTTAAATATTTTAGGGACAGCAAAATGTGGCCCCCAGGGTGGCAGGGCTTGGCATTTTAAGCCCTGGGTTTACACACTGGCCTCATATCTTGAGCGCGACGCTTATGTAAAACTTAAAAAAAAACATTGCTGCATTATCGGCCGGGCTATTTCTGTTTTTCAAACAAGCATGATGAACAACAAGTCGGCCTACAGCAGGCTGTTTACATATCCGTTGGTCACAAAATAACATCTGTTGCAGCCCTTAAGCATATCTGAGAAATTGTGGTATAGTTTAAGGAGACGTTGCAGTGAAGCGAGAACTTGACACTTGCAGCATTTTGACCAAACATTTCATTTCTCAGTCATTTTGTCGGGGACGGGTGGACCCTCAAGTGAGATATTATGAAGGAGGGTAACCTCTACTTTTGTTTTCAGGCTTCAGTTGAGTGTTTTGACAACAGTCAGTACCAAGCAAGGTTAAGTTGGAGAATGAAAGATCTACCGGTCAAAAACAAAGGAAGGGATTTTTATTTAATGTAAATGTACGGCACGTTTGTCAGCTATCGGGGTTTTTGTGTTAAGATGTGCGAATTATACATCCAAGGAATTAACACCATTATAACTCGGCATCTCCCAATACTTTGTGAAACTGCTTGTTGAATCATTTTTGAAAAGGACAAATCCATTTGATGGCTGGAATAAGGGGGGGTGGGTGGGTTAATGTTATAAGAAGTGAATGGCTTTATGTAATGCTCGTTGAGCCAGCTTTTCCACGCCAGCCAGGGGACTTGGTAGAGTCGGGCTTCCTTCACTTAGATCCACGAACATGCGATCTGCCAGTGAGCTTTCTGTAACCCTGTCCGTGTTACCCTTGGGTTGGGCAGGTAGCTGTCAATGAAGCAACTTTGCTTCTTCGGTATGTAATAACCTCAAACCATGTTAATGGATATTCATTTTCAGTTTTCACTTTGGAAAAGCAATAATGTCACTTGCCGAAACGCTTCTCTTGAGCTCCTTGAGCCCCCAGGTGCACCATGCTTACTGCACCTTACTGCATCCATACAGCGGTTGGCAGTGCTCGTGTAGAATCTAGTCACTGGAGAGTCAACAACGACAAAAAAAATCCACAATTCGAGGTGTTATTCCGAATACAATTCTACCGGTACTTTCACTCGGTGACAGCGAGGTTGACGGCGCAACCCGATTCGACTGATCACAGATGAGCTTGTCTCGCGTCGTGAATGCAAGAGACGTGCGCGAAAGGGGTGACGGGGGGGGGGATTGAGAGGAGCTTGCTCGAAATCAGCGGAATCTTTATTTAGACTGGAGGAATTCGATGAGCTGTAAAGCTCTTTTTCACAGATGTCCCTTATGGGTGGATCCGAAAGAGCCTGGCAGGTGGCTGCGACGGGGGTGGAGCGCGCGCCTCTACCACAGTGTGAACTTAAGTCCCGATTTCGGCAAGAGGACATTGGATGAAGTGTTTTGGCGATAACGCACAAGTATAAAAGCTACTTGCAAGATGGGTAGGTGGATCGCGCAGCCATGAGAGTTCTGCCTCGCCTAATCTCGCAGCTTGTCGCCATGAATGTGTATATTCGACGCATGTCTGCTAAGCAACAAGGTGGTACCTGTAGGGAGCAGTATTGTGTGAGGTTTCGGCCAGGCTGCGGAGGTTTGAGTGCAACACCAATAATATGCATTAGTATTCTTTGGGTAGTCTTAATTTCACTCTGCAAGCTAAATAAATATTGTACTCATGGATTGGCCCATCTCAAACTGGATCTTACCTGAAGTATTCTTGAGACTCGATGAGACTTTCCTGGGTAGAGCTTCCAAACGGGGATACGTGACATTCCCAGCGCATCAGTAAAATGGAGCATGTGTTTATAAAGCATCTAAATGTGTCCACATCTAAGAGGCTGTCCGTGGAAAACACACGCATCATATGATTCGAGGAAAATAAGATTTGTTTTAGTTGAGGTCTTTTTTGGAGAGGGAAGTTATGGATAGGATGGTATGAGATGGCAGAGGGGGAAGTCGACGCTGGAATGATGACACGACAGAGGGCAACGTGGTGGAGAATAGTCCCACGCCTGGTTTGTGAACAAGGGCTCTTGTCTGATGAGGCTGCTTGTAATTACCGGCGGAACGTCGTACCTGAAATGTTGTGGGTTTTACTCTCCAACACCGGTGTGCTGAACTAGCAACGAATTGGCACGTTTTGTTTTCCCTGACAAATCTTACTAATTGGCTGTGTCGGGTGGTGGTGGTGGTGGCGGCGAGTTTAACTACACATTTACGTGATCTAACCCCAAAAAAACCTTGTGGGTGATGAGAGTTTGTGCAGACAGCTATAGCGGGGCCGGGGGAAGTGCTTTTCCGGGCACCAGGGCAGCAGCAGTAACACAGAAGGGGAATGGCCTCCCTGTGGCATTATTTTTTTTTATAGATGAGAATAAAAATGTTTGCCTTTGTACCACAAGCGGATTGGCAGACATGGCAGCCGGGAAGATGATGGGCCGACGGGAGGGGTGGTGTCCCCCTTTCCATTTTTTTCTGGTGGAAACGCTGCGAGTCGTCAGGATGCGATGGGTTCTTTCTATGCATCCACCGACCACCGAACACAAACCCCCCGCCGCCCTGAAGTGGACCGCTTCACTTGATTACTTATTTCCGAGGGGGGGGGGGGGTATCAGATTTTTGTGAGAAAGTCAGGTTAAACTGGGCATTTAAATGAAACCTTTGCAAGCGGTTACAGGTCATGTCATGGTATATGTTTCCGGCTGATGTGTACATTGGGAACATGTTTTCCCTCTTGGCTTATTGTACAAACTGTGTGTGTGTGTGTGAGCGACAAGCCAAGATGATATTTTACATTATGCTGGCTGCATAATTGTTTATCCTGAAATTAATATTGTATAGTTTTGCATTCCCTTTTGTTTCTCTTGATATTAATCTTGATGTACAAAAATAAGTAATAAGTCATTTTCAGCCCTTTGTCAATGCACCGCTGGTGGAATGCCCCTCCACACTTTTGGTCATGGAGGTTGCTTGACCATACTTGACCTCGCTGGTCCGCGTGCGCTGGTAAAGGGAGGCCCAGGACACTGTTAAGATATCACTTGCCATCATCAACTCGGTCGCCAGGATCGGAGAGCAGTGCACTAACCACTGTGCCACCGTTCAAAAAAATATTGTGCCCAATTATCTCACAGCAAGTTGGCCAGTAAGGGTGATTGGGCCTGAGTGAATGGGGACACATTTAAATTAATAACCCGTACTTTTTGCGTTGCTAAAAATTTTTTGATGAAAAGAAACGTTCAGATTTATGTTTCCTCTTCTGTTCCATGAATATATGTCACTTGGATAATCTTGACCGAGTGTTGTGTAAGGGTTGAAAAGTGAAAATTTAAATTTATCGCAAGCTTATATACTGTAAAAACATACACGAATGCTGTTCGTGACTATAGCATACGATGGCGCATATATGATGAGAGTGTGGTGGAAAAGCAACTTTGAAAACGTAACCGTGCTGCGATATATTTATATCTGCAGTAGTGTTAAATCCAGTAATTTTAAATCCAGTCCAGCTTTAAGTTCTGTCATTGGTTTAAGAGATCTTCAATCTCTTACGTCACATACAAACAAATACCTCACTCAGTGAAGGCCAATGAGCCAAACGTTTACTTAACCATAGTCTTGTTCGGTCACTTATCGTTTGAGATTCCTGTGTGTGCCTGGGTCTGTTTGTGATGTATTGTGAATAGCACACGACGTCTGCCGAAACTGCGGTCCATTTTTCGCTTCCAAGTATACGAACCGCACCGGGTTACGTAGTTAAGTGTGCACGCCAATCGCGCACTCTGGGGCATGCTCGTTCATGCGGATGTTTGTAAATATTTGATGTAGAATTTTGATTGGCTAGCGAGCTATCCCTTTCCAAAGAGTTTAACCCCCCTTCGTCTAAGTGAAATGGACCGGATTTTTGCTGCATTTTCGGAACTAAATCTCCCCCTCGTTCTGAGCACGCACATTTGTGCACAAACGCGCCCGCGCTTACAGATCACGTTTACTTGGCGTAGTTGCATTTGTTACGAACAACCGCCTTTGATCAGAACAACCGCTGTAGCGTATACATATACAGTATATATGTATTGTATATATGTATACAGTATACATTGTATATACAGCCAATGGAGAACCTTGCCATTAGAAACGGGACTGGATGTTGGTCCTGGGAGTCTTGAGTTATTTTCGGTGTGAGACAACGCTTGGCACTCCAGACTTCACGGACTGTTATCCGGCCCAGATTTCAAATCTGTTTCCGCTCAACCTATTTTAAGTATCCCAGCATATGAAAGCATACAGGAGGTTGGCTGGCATGTAAAACTGGACTGGATCATAGTGTCTGGAGCATGAGTTGAGACTTAACTGCCTTACTGCACTGGCTGAATGAAAGCTTGTTAATAGATGCGTAATGTAATGGGTTTGTTCCTCTTTATGTGTGTATATAATTGTTTTACCAGTAATGCCTTCTGTGGTTTCCATGCAGGCATATTTGATTTATGTGTTTGCATACACATGTGAGTGTGCGTTCCTATTTATCTGCATTTGTTCCCATGTGTAAGTGCACCTGTGCACACACACGTGTGTACATACACACGTGTGTGTGTACATACACACACGTGTGTGTGTACACACACACGTGTGTGTATGTGCATACACACGTGTGTGCTCTGTGCATGCATTTCACGCTCACATTCAATTTGCAATCAAAACGTGTTCCAATTAAAAAAAAAACTTGTTTAATTTTTGCCGTCGCGTTCGCTGTTAAAGTTTATACATCGCTTTGAGATACAGCACACTTATCCTTTCCATTTGCATTGGTCAGAGGCTTGTGTGCATATCTCGTTAATGATCGTCCTCCCATGTTGTTGTCTGTTAACTTTTTATTTTCTTACCCTGTGGGACAGGTCTTTGAAATGTTGTAAAAATGTAGAATGTGTTTTTTTTCTCCGTATTTATTTATGCGCGGCACCTGGGTTCCTTCTACGCAGTGACAATGTTTCAGATTGTATGACCGGTTAAAAAGGCTTTGATATGCCCTCCTCCTCCCCGCGCGTGGAGACACCAGTTCAGGAAATTGTGCCGTTTTATTCGAAGATTTTTTTTTCTCGAGCGCGGCCACCCATTCTCGTAGCTCGGCTCCTGCTGAAATAAGACACCAAATGATGGTGGCTGGATAGGCCCTGTGGGCGAATGCCCTATTGTCAGGGTTACTACTGAGCCCCAGCACATTTGAGATCGTTTGATTTCAGGCCGCTGTTGGCAGCTTAAATTGACGTGGCTTTCTTGGGGCACGTGACATTGCATTGTTAGAAATGCATTGGCGTACTTCTGATTCAGCCAAGGGGTGAAAAAGTAAAGAAAAAACACAAAAGCGATAACAAAAAAATATTCGCATTTCTCCCCCACAGCTTTCATTTAGTCTTGGGCCCTTGTGTGGTTGGTCATCAGTTCCCTTTAAATCAGGACACCCAGTAGCATTCGTTCGAGGCTATGTCTTGCTGATGATAATCAGAGACGATGGAACCGGTTTGAATTACCCCTAGTTCATAAACAAATGGCATTGGGAAAAGGTCGCGTTTAAACGTTATTGATGAAACAAGCGACTTATTTTTTTTTAAGTAAAGCAACATTTCCACCCCCCCCCCCCCTCTATTAAAGGACACCAAGAGAATGTTCCGAGTGTATACAAAATAAATCGGCATTATTTAGCTGACATTTCTATAACAAATGAACGCGATAAACCACTTTTAAAATAAATCCACCTTTAATCTGCACTCATTGGATTAAATGGCATACAGTGTGTCATGTCCTCACGTTCATCAGCAAGACGTATTGGCATGTGCATCATGCGGTTATTCTCATTCCAGGTGGTGTCTTCATTTTCAAACGTCCCATTCCCCCCTCCCCCCCCCCAGTCTTCCTATCCAGAGATAGAACCTATATACACCATAATCACATATCACTTGACAGCCGGGTCGAATGTGCGTGAAGATTGGCAGATGTGGAAAACAGAGATCGTTGGACTACTGAGCAGAGGGAACCACGTCTGGGGTTTGTAAACCACTGCTGTGTTCACACGGCAATGTTGTTAATATCCTCAATGACTTGGCAGAGCTCACGTCTACACTAGGGTATACTTTCTGCCGGTCTTAGGTGTAGCATCATTGCTATTACTGTTCACCACACAGCACAAATATATCTGTGGGGGAGCAACCTTCCAGCTACTGTTGGCTTTCACAATGCCTCCTTTCATCACGGAGTAAGCCACAAGTGATGAGTGCAAAAGAAAACTTAAGACTTCATTGGCAGTGGTGTATTTACAAGCACGGACCTAAAACACATCACCACCGTATTAACAGTGCCTTGTTTCAGAAAAAAATATACAGCAGGCTAAAATGTCAAGTCAGCGGCCCACGTTCACCGCTGTTGTGAAATAAGGGTAATTCCCTGGACGTTTGGCCTATGATGTTTCTGTTTATGTGGTGTTAATGTCAGACTGGTGGTGAAGTGTTGGTTGGCCTGTGTGACACAAGCCATGGTTTATATGCGTTTGCTCACTTTTCGCTGCCTGTTTTTATTTTGTTGCTAACCATCGCGCACACGGCGGCGCTAAGCACCACGCCTGCCGCGCGTGTCGAGTTGGAACGCGGAGCGCCCGGCCTCAACGTGAACATGCCGTGGGCCCCACCCCACCCCACCCTCGCGGCGACTGCGTTTCTAACGCGAATAGGAGCAATGACTACGTATAGGAATAAAACGTCTCCTTTATTCGCCTTTGTTGTTTCACATTCATTTATGATGAGTTGAGTTTTTTTTTAAGTTGGCATATGTAAACACATCTTACCGGTTTGTGTGGTTTACATTGATGGAAGGACGTTTTAATGTCGCCAGTTTTCCGAGGCCCCCCCCCCCTTCACTCGATGAAAAACGAAAATATGAATTGGGAATCCAGCGGATATATCTTTCACCACAGGCTGCCTCTAATACTCATGTCCGTTCTCGTACTCCCTGGCTACTGAGAGACGATCCATTTTGGGGCTGTGTGCTCGCCTGGCTTGAGCTGTCGGTGTGGAAACTTGAGCTATTGTAGTGGAGTTTGAGCGAGGAGGTCTTTAAAAGTGACGGGCGAACACTTTTATATCCATGCTCTTATTTGTGTTTATCTCGCTGGCTGTCGATGTGTTGTTTCTTTCTGGTGGGCCACTCTCGCCGAACTTCCCTAACACCTAACTGGGATTCACAGGCATGCATAAGCATGTTTTTTTTTTAGCCAGATGCAAATATTGTAAAAGTCAAAATTAGACTCCCCACTCATACGGGCATGTGGTGCCGCTCTGCTGGTGGCTCCGAGTCGATGGTAGAAATTTCACTTTTCTATGCTGGGGGATATAGGACTCTTTCCAAAGAGGTACCGCTTAAGAGTGGTAGCTAATTTTAATGTTCCAAGGGATTATATTATTGGTGGGCTGAGTTAAACCTCAAATTGGGATGTGAACTTTTGTAACCTTACGAATGAGAATCAGGAACTCAAACCAATTTCACACCCACGCATCTGTATGCCATACATTGAATACATTCGGTAAGTTTGTAAAGCAAACATACTCTAGCCATGTAATTTAAAAACTCAATGTTGTGGTGCTGACTGTGGTCACCCATTCTATCATTTACAATAGCTGTTTTGCCAGTAAACGGCGGTCATTTTGCCACGGTGGCTGTCGCCAGGCTCGGTGCACCGTTAAGGAATACACATTACATTGTATTCGTACACGTGGACCATTGTCCACCGTAACGTTCCCCAGGCGCCGCGGATAGCGGTGCGTGCAATGTGCGCTTTGATCGCAAGAGCCACCTCCGTGTACATACAAATGTAGGTGTATAATTAAATACAGAAGAGGAACTGAAATCTGCACACGTGAAGCAAACGTTGCTATAAAATGTTCATTATATGCCATGCTCGTACATTGTGTATTGATTGACGCAACAAAACAAGCAGGACAATAAAAAAGAGATTTATAACAATTTGCCTTGTGGGTTTTGAGTGAAGACACCGCCCATATTCACGCATACATTACACAATTGTCGCTTTGATTGCCTGTGCAGTCGTTATCTGATGTCTTTATTGACCTCTTGAAGCTGTGGTCACAGTGCTTGGGTCACAATGAGAAGGTTCTGAATGCACATTTTTATGGTTGGGTAGATAAAGTGCAATATGAAAAACTCAACATGTTCGGTAATGACACTGCCTTAAAATGAAACGTATAATCCGCTACGTTTTGGACAAATGTCCCGTCTTTATAAGCATATCTGCCAGAGAGATGGTGAATACTCGTTGGAGGCTGCACTTTGAAACCATGAGGCCTCGAGTTATTCTGTATTTGCACCACTGCCACCACAGTATCGCCCAGTAATTTCTACTTTTTTTCTGATGAGCTTTGGCACACCCTTGACGGCTAATTATATTCATTGCCACTAAAAAGAAAATGCAATGGTTAGAGCAGAGGTCGGAAACCAAAATAACAAGAAGACCCACTTTTTTTTTTATTCGGTGAGTAACAAAAAAACACCAAGAGCCACAATGCATCTGAATACGAGACGGTGGTCTTTCATAAATGACGAGAAAGGTGGCTCCCATCAACTTCTCTTGCATGAGCTTCACATTCCACGAAGCTAAGGGCATCTTAGGTGGTACACGTTTAAGATGCACGATTGTCAACGATGCTTTTAAATGTTCTATTCCCTACTGACAGCCCCTGTGTGAAGATCTATCACCGTTATCCTAACCATCGATTTAAATGATGTATTTTACACAAAATCCTGCTACGGGTGTACCAGGATTTCACGGTCTTCATTGCCCGAGACTTGGATTATTGTCTTGGATTAATACACGGCCTACGTAAGAATGAACTGAGCTATGACGTGAGTGGAAGTGCACCATGGGGAGTGTCCACAAAGACTCTGGTCCGTTTATTGTGACCCCTTGGCCGAGGACAGTTTTACCACAAGCACCAACTCGGTTATGCTTTGTGCTGCACGGTGTGATCATGTGTGACGCGAGCGTGGTCAGTCTCGGGACGAGCAAATGGTCCGTGCGAGCCAGTTTGCACGTGACCCGAGTACTTACCATGAGGATTGAGTGGGATGGCAACAGGTGCAAACCTTTCTCCGGTGTTAAATCTCGGGAAGGCATTGGGAATACGTGCGCATTGGGTGCGATTCGCGGCAACAGTCTTAAGTTGCGGCCATTAGGCGGAGTTCTATACTTGTGGTGGCTACTGTTGGCATATATAACTCGGGTCTCTGGGCAGTGTCTATCATTGCAAGTTCACCGTGACACGTAGGCTGCATAGCAGCCACCATAATACGACCTTGGCTTATTTGTGCACAACATTTCTCGGGGGCTCGTCCAGGATCGGTGCAGACCTTGTTTTGTGAACTGTGGGGGAGCAGGGAGGTGAGAATCAGTTGAGTGTTTTCAGACAAGGTGGGGGATTAATCCAAGCTAACCAAGGACGTTGCTTAACCGTACTGTACAAGAAGACTGGTTGTCCTAATATCACACGAGACATCAAGAGACGGCGACTGAGATGGCTCGGTCATGTACTCAGAATGGACCAGTACCATATACCAAAAATTGCCACCGGGCAAAAGGAAACCTGGGAGGACCCAAGACCACGTGGTGCAAGACTGTGAAGGACGAGCTGGTGGCAGCGAACAACCTCTCTTGCGGCGAGGCTCAACATGTTTCCAAGGACAGGAAGAAGTGGAGGGAACTCATTGCGGCCTTACACCCGGCCCCGTATGCCGATTAAGAGGATGAACTAACTTCATTTATTAAGGATGTGGTTGTGTGCCATGAGAGAATTGTGAGAGGCTATCGAGTGTCTCATCATGGAAGCCAAGGAAGTCCAGGAGTTTATGTAGACTGTATTGGGGCTACAAAGGCTAGCTCTTCAAGTTCCTGTGGTATAAGAGAGTAGAGTGAAGGGAATAAAAAAAAACACGAAGGCTAATATAAAACTTGAGCAGGAGAAAATGAAGTTGGCCACATAGTAGAAAACTTCACGGGACAAATACTTAAAAGTGTATACTATTGAGGATCTCTACAGCATAGAGGCAAGTGGTTGTGCTATCAATGCTCTGCACTTGAGTGGCTGGTGTTAGATACAGGGAATCCTCTACTTACGAACATTCGAATTCCAAACTTTCAGAGATACAAATAAACCTGTCCGTATGTCCAGTTGCCTGTTCAGACCAAGAGTCGTAAGTTCAACGGCCGCGCAACAGATGGCGGTGGTGGCATCTACATCTGCAGAACGTGAAGAACCAGTGGCATCTACATCTCCAGGAGATTATACAACTTGCAAAGCCATTCCCCCGTGTTTAGTGTACATGCCGTAACAACATGTTTGAAATCGACAGGAGTCAAGTTGGACTTACGAACAGACCTCCGGAACATAACTCGTTCGTAAGTAGAGGCGTCCCCTGTATTGGCAAGTAAAATCTAGCACTTATAGAACTCGGCTCTGTGCGTGGTCTCACGAACTCACCGCGACACACAACCGCACGTCAGCCACCGTTAAGACGACCTTGGTTTATTCTACACCAGTCACGTGATGCCCTCTTGTGGTCAAATACACAACTACAGCCTTCCGGCGTTCTCTGGGTCTTAACACCGGTGGTGAGACAAGGCCACAAAGAACGCTGTCTCTGGTGTAGGCAAATAGTTCTAAAGACAATGCAGATATTATATTCTTGGTTCTTTCGGTAAAGTCACGTAGAAGGGAAACAATATTATTTTATTGTTTCCCTTCTACGTGGTTCCTACCAATAACATCTGGCAGTTTTCACCAGTGCTGGTTCAAGTGAGCCTGACTGCTGATGAGACGCTGAAGTGTCGACGAAGCTTGTCCACGGTGTTGCTTGTCTTGCATCAATGCTGCTGATGGGATGTACTCTCAGAGGCTTGTGCGGCTGAAGGGATAGGTACAAATAGAACCGCCTGCATTGATGATGTGGAGAGGCGACTTTGTGGAGGCTGTTGGCTCTTGCCATGCAGCAGCTGTAGATGTGTGTTTGTTCAAAAGAGGGCATCACGTGCCTGGTGTCGAATCTATAGTGCACAAATCCATCTCAACCCTTTAGCCGTGACCCTATAGACCTAACCCTATCCTGTAGTGCCCATATATCCACCTCAACCCAATAGTCCTAACCATTAACCCACTAACCTCCTAACCCCTAAGCCTAACCCAACCCTAACCCTTAAAGCCTAACCTTTAATCCTAAAGCCCTAACGCCGAACCCTAAATCCCAAAGCCCTAAACATAACCTTAAAACCCTAACCCTAATACCCTAACCCTAAATTCTAACCTTAAACCCTAACCCCTACTTGTATATGGAATACAGGCCAGCAGATAATCGTCACTGGTGTTGGCCGTGATCGGGAATCAAACCCGGGTCGCCGGGTTCGTAGCGTAGCGTTGCGCTAACCACGACACCAACTCGACAAACCCCAAACCCTTACCGTAACCACAACCCCTTCCTACTTACAAAGAGGCATTGTCTCCCCACTTCTCTATCTTGTCTCTTTCGCCTTTAACTCCCCCGGTTACCTCTCACCAAAGTTCCTCCTTTATACGCACGGCACACTAACATCCATTGTTTAAGGGTACCTTATACATCTAAATAAGTCTTATTAATATGGTGCACCTCGTGATTTTCTCCCACTTCTGTAGCTCGTGAGTAAGGCACATTTCACTGAAAAGCACGTTCACTTTGCTTATACAACACTTTAATTTACAACGGTTAACACGGACGACTTACAATACACTAATTACAAAACACCCCACACCCCAATGTGTTGCATTTATTGCAAGATTTGTAGATTTGAATAGGGAGGCTGATGTGGGGTTAGGGTTCGCGTTTTGTTACAGTCACTTGGGGCTATGGTAGATTAAGCAGGGTGGTTGTAAGACGCATCTCTAAACGCTTGCATACAACAATTAACTCACAGCCACCACGTGCTTCTAATTATTTTTACAATTTATTTTTTTTATAGAAAAGAGCCCGCCCGCTCACCAAGAATACATTGACTTGACTTCTCCTTTTGTTCTCTAACGAATGATTTAACCACCTGCCCGCCTCGCCATTGATCACAACATCCCAGGTGGTGCTCACTGCCTGTCTGGGGTGGGGTGGGGAGGCGATGGTGGGTGGGGGAGGTGATGGTGGGTGGGGGAATTAAGGAGTGGGTGCTGTGTACTTGTACGTCGGGGAAGGGAGTGGGGAGGAGGCGTAATTGGTGGGAGGGAAGAGCGATGGATGTGGAGAGAGGCCCCGTGAAGAAGGATGGACAGACCCACACACTTCTAACCCGACCGCGACTCAAGGGCCTCGCTGTTCCGTGAGCTGCATGAGCAGGAGCTGTTGCTCCGACTCGTCCGCGTCTCCGTGCGCCCTGCACGCGCTCCGGTGCTGGGACAGAGCCAGCTCCAGGCGCTGCCTCTCGCCGCGGAGTTTCTCGATGAGCGACTTCAGTCGCGAGTTCTGCACCTCCAGGATCTCCGACTCCTGCGGCGCGGGAGGCAAGGGGAGGGGTGTGAGGTGGTGAGACGGGAAGAGAGACGAGGATCAGGAGTCTTGCCGAGTAATGATGATCACGGCGGGCGGGCGAGGGAGCCGAGCCTTGTGGCATAGCTATTTAAGCGTACAGGCGGTGCAACTGCACAGCTAACGGTGCCTGGGCTAAGAAGAGGAAGGGAATTGGAGAGGAGGCAAAATGTCATTCCCTGCACCAGGTGCGCATGCCAACCATAACAACGCTGCTAAGTCGCCAAACTTTGTGAAGATGATGATGATGATGGGGAATTTGCCTTTTGTTCATGGTGGTGGGGATTATGATGATGGGGCGGAGGGGTGGAGAAGGATCCTTACCTTGGAGAATAATGATGGTTACGTTGATCAATGTTATAAGGGGTTGATATATGTCACACTTGCCTGCAGCCCGCTTTCCCGCTATCGCGTGGAGTAATAATATTAGATTCGAATATTTCGTGACTGCAGGAATTAGAAGTTAAGTGTGGAACAGACGAGCAAGGAGAACTTTAGAGAGAGAAATTGGAAGTTTGACAACAAATTTAGTAAAAATTAAGAAGTGTAATGCAATGCAACACAGAGAGTCGGCTAACTCACAGTTAACTCATGGCCTGGTAGATTACCGTTCTCCCAAAGATTGGTAAATTAGAAGTTAAGTGTGAGTTGTGAGTAAAACCTCTCCGTAGAGGTGGTTCAAACTACATTCGAAGCTTTCGTGACTGCAAGAACCAAAGTTTAATTCCTGCAGTCACGAAAGCTTCGAATCGAGTTTGAACCACCTCTACAGGGGAGGGTTTACTCACAACTCACACTGAACTTCTAAATTTATCAATCTTTGGAAGAACGTTAATCAACCAGGCTATGCGTTAACTGTGTTAACCGACCCTCTGTGTGTGCATTGCATTACTCTTCTTAATTTTTTAAAACTAAATTTGTTTTCTCAAACTTTCGATTGTCTTTGCTCTAAACCATTGTCTCTCGTCCGGCCACTGTGGTCCGGAATTCCACACCGCTCCCTCCTTACCCCCTCGTTTGTCCACAGTCCTCTCTCTGCCCCTCCCCCCCTCTCTCTCTATTTAAGGCCTCGGCACAGATTCGTTGTCCTTCTATTTGTCTTGGTGTGTGTCTCGCTCGGTGTGTCTTTGTGTGTGTCTCTCTCTCTCTGCATGTGTGTCTACCTATGCTGTTCCCGTGTCTGTGTTTTATCATTCATTATTAACTGATGACAGCTGCTTATGTTGCAATCGAAACGTCGTTTTCTATTATTATTTTATTTTATTTTCTACGTGACTTTACCGAACTAAGCAAAGAGTAAATGATATTGTTTTTGATTGAGAGCTGCTGCTAATGATGATGATAGATGTAGCTGATGCTAGGGATGGTGACGGTGTGATTATTCCTATTATGATGATGATGAAACTGATGATGAATGGCCGATGACGAATGAGACTTGAGCCGTGGGTCTCCGTCACCTGCAGTAGGAACTCTGTCCGCTCTTTCTTCTTGTTCCGACACTTGGCAGCGGCCACTTTGTTCCTCTCCCTGCGCCTCCTCCGCCGCTCCGTCTCCTCCGCTGCGCTCTGTTGATCGTTGCAAATCCAGGGGTATGGGGCAGAGGAAAAGGGCACGATCCGCCTCGTGTCAAGATTTCAATTTGCTTAACAGAAGGAGCGAGGTGGATTTGTTCCCTCTGATCCTTGGGGTTTGGGTCACCGACACCGCCATCTCGTGTCCCACCGCGGTGCAAGATTCCTGTGCTCGCCACATCGTCTTACCAATCATTCAAGATCGAGATGTCATCATGGCCAAAACAACGCACCATCACCTCGAGCCATCGCCCCGCAAACAACACACCTTACGAGACCATACACGGGCATATAATACAGAACTATGAAAAGACTACATGAAGAGTACGGACGACCACGTTGCGGCCTCGCACGACCAAGCACCCATAACGCTTGAAGAAGTGATGACGACAACATTAGCCGTCTTCACTCGGGTGCCGGGTGCTATAGGCCGCCTGTCACCTTAGCAGTCCGCCTGTCAGTCACCTTAGCAGTTCCGTCATACGTCGGTCCGTTCGTGGGCCAGTCCATCAGAGGGTCCGTCCGTCGGATTTGTCCCTCGGATTGCATCCGTTCACGTGTCCGGTCCGCTCGCGAGTTAGTTTACCACTCCGCTTTGGCGTGGCGTCCAGGTCACGCAATCCCTTATCGTTTTGAACATATCCGCGAAGTCTGTTGTCGCGTCCGTCCGCTTTGAGTCCGTTCGCTAGTCCGTCTTTACCGCAGACGCATCCCGCCCGGGTGCGGAACGTTGACAGCCGCTGTGGTCGAGGTGACGAGGAGCAATCATCATCATCATCGTCGTCGTCGTCGGTGCCGTCCGTCACTCGCCTGCCGTGGGATCCAGCCGTATTAAATTCCGCGAGGTACAACCCGCGCGCATTTGTAGTCCCCCATGCGCTCCCTTATTTTGCGCGTGATCTTAACTTTCCCCTCCACCCCCTTCTAAATATCATTGACGTAGAAGTGTTATGCCCGCGGGTACGTTCGACCGCGCGTGTTTTTTTTCCTCCGGCCCTCCACCGCCACAATCGCCTCCATATCTGATTGGTTTTAATGTCGAGTTGCTTAAAGGTCTTTTCCGTGCCTCTTACCGTAAACTGTGGGATTGAGGGAGCATTTTCAGTCGCTAGGTTCCTGCCTCTCGCCTCTCCGCATTTCTCTCAATTGCCCTCGTTTTCTCGTTCCCTTCCTCTCTCTTCCTCTCTCTCTCTCTGCCCCCCCCCATCCATTCTTCTTTCAATCTCCCACAATTACAACCTCCTCCCTGCCCGTCGCCTCTCCCCCATCGGCACCCTCTCTCTTCCTCCTGCCCACGGATTCCGCGCTCGCTTCGCCGCTCGGCGCGCTCGCGCGGCGACGCGAGTCATGGGCGGGCTGCTCCGCGTGACAAACGCAGCGATGTTGGGCGCACGCCGTTCTGGAAGGGGCACGAGACGTCGAACGGCGATGTCAACTATCGTCGCAAGAGCGCGGGCCAATTACGACGATCGCATCAAATACGTGGGCGGCGAGACGTTGCGACTCGTTGAAATTCTAGTGGGGGAAAGGGGGGGGTGTTTGGCTGTCCGCCTGATGGTGCCGGTTGTAATTGCTGGCGAAACGTCGTACTCGGATTGCAAATGTTGTGACTTTGCTCTCCAACACAGCGGTGTGCTGTACTCGTAACGAACTGGCGTGTTCTGTTCACGTGACAAACCCCATTGCTAATTGGCTGCGTCGGTGGTGGCGGGTTTAACGATCTAACCCCCCCAAAATATATAGTATATTATAATGGGATGTCGCGTAAGGGACGGGCAACAATGAATTCATACAGAGAAGAGCGAGAGAGTCACGGAGACGGAAACAGGGACTGAGACGGAGGGACGTGGATCGAGAGACACATTGGACCCGGGGAGAGACGCGGAGAAAGACAGAGGCAACTCTAGATTTAAAGCTTTCGTGACTGCTAGGATCCATACTCTTTGGTTGTATTGGGTAAAGTCACGTAGGTAAAAAATAAAATAACAAAAATCACAAAAATATGGAACGCTTCACAAATTTGCTTGAAGCGTTCCATATTTTTGTGATTTTTGTGATTTTATTTTTTACCTACGTGACTTTACCCAATAGAACCAAAGAGTATAGAGGCAACTCATCATTTGGTCTGCGCCATGATCGTCTCTACTCTGTTATTGGTCGCGTCGTTCGATTCATTGCCCTGGGGGGGGGGGGGGTTCTACTTGGCAACTGAGATATGACAATAGCATTGGGCAGAATTGCGGCCGAACTTGAAGTTCCGGTGTTGAGCACACAAAGAGTCTGGCAGAATATCATTGAAGCAATGGCCAGCTGCGGTGGTATTAACGGCATTGTCCGTGAACCTAAATACGTCATTGTACAGCCCTTTGTCAACCCATTGTGCTGATAATAAAAGCCCTCTCCACGCCACGTCGGCAATGGGTGATTGTTTGGCCATACTTCACCACACTGGTCGGCGCGGGATGGTGAAGCGAGACCAGGACCCATTCAAAATATAACATGCTACTGGTGTTAGCCGTGGCCGGTGGAATCTAACTTATGTCGCCGGGTTTTCAAGCAAGGACTATAAAAAATGCCTGAAACCACAACTAAAATACAATTATAAAACACAAAATTTCGCCACGTGTAGAGCAGAATTTTAGTGAAGGCCAATCTCTTGAAAATTTGTTTTCGATTTTACCGTTAACGTCATTTGACATTAAAAAACCCAACAACTTAGCCATGTACGTGTTGTTACGAGTTGTGGGCTATTTATAGCCCGCACCGCTGCCGAGTATCCTGCCTGAGCCGAAAGTCCCCTTGCCGAGCTATGATTCACTTCTTCGCGAACCACGAGGGGGAAGTTCCGCATTGGTTTATTGACATCTATCAACATCGAGGAAGCACGGCGTGCGTAGACGCCTATCTGGATTAACTCGTAGACACCTACTTGGATTAACTCGTAGACACCTACCTGGATTAACTCGTAGACACCTACTTGAATTAACTCGTAGACACCTACCTGGATTAACTCGTAGACACCTACCTGGATTAACTCGTAGACACCTACCTGGATTAACTCGTAGACACCTACCTAGATGAATTCGTAGACACCTACCTGGATTAACTCGTAGACACCTACCTGGATGAACTGGGATGCCCGTGGGGCCTTTCACCGTTGAGCAAATGATCGTTTGAGAATGCCCTTTGGCCCATGGCAAAGAGTAATGACGGAGTGGCAGCCAGCGGATGGTTAGCGGTCGCGAGCACGTGCGCTGATGTGGAGATGGAGCAACGCGATTGGCTCGTGTGTAAGTGCCCTGTGGATAATTTCGTCGGGGGGTCGCGAGAGCTGGCGAACGACCGTCGGAGGCCTTCATGCAGCGATGGATTGATCACGGCTGATGTTCATTAGGGTGTCCCGAGCCAACATTAAGGTTGTTAAACTCGTTGATTCCCCAATTGAACTTATTTAATCGCTGAGTGGTGATGCTGGGCTTGGTAACGTGAGGTTTTTTCCTCTCTCTCATAGTTTAAATTGTCGTTCTGAATTCAGAAAGTTATATTTTCTTTGACGTGGACATTGCAATCCAAAAAAGAAGGTAAAATATGTGCATTGGGCAGAATTCTCAGAGGTTAAAGCTTGCTGAAGGAAGGTCTGAAAGTATGTATGTTGAACTTCTTTCGCGCCGTACGTACTCAACCGTGCTAATCGGAGGTGCGTGGGTTGGGAAACAAACGAATGGAAACGTTACAAATGGCAATTATATTAAACTTGGTGCTTCACTTTGGCTAGATTCCAGCTTTCAGAATGTAACTTATCTGTTTTACTGCAACGCAGAAGCATGGTGGGTGGTGGGTGGGAAGTGCTGCCCTCTGCTGCGCGAACCAGAAATCACTTGACGGAATCTCAGAGGTAGCTCTGTGATATTCCCTTCCGTGGACAGTTTTCCAATACGGGGGAGTTGGGGTGGGTTGATTACGCTGCTCCAGAGAGCTCCGAATTGATACTTAATATCATGACACCAATGGAATAACTTGGGATGGCATTGAATAAAAAGATAACACTTTATGAGGAAGCCTTCATCCAGCGAGTGGATCGATCCCTTGGTTGTGAAGGAGGCCAAGTGAATCAACGTCGGTCCCGATGGCAAGGATGGCAACATCCCTAGTCAATAATTACGTTGCAAGTCACAATAAAAAAACCCCACTAAGACACTTTATCAATTCATTTATTTCCACAAAAAAAAGTACACAAAATATAATCTCTCACAGTAGTTCGTATATTCACATATCTCGCTTCGTTTGGTGCGTTATTCTCTATTAAATTATTACTCTTCTTGTTAAAGTACTTTGCGGCTCGAGGACGTGTGTGCAGCTGCAGACGCCGCCGCGTTCGCATCGGTCTGGGCGAAGCAGCGAACGGCTTTAGAGCAGTGCTTTCTTAAGAAGCCACTGGCTTAGACGAATTGTCAACGCGGCGTCAGCGCTGTGAGTTCGCGGGTTGAGTAAACGCTCACCGCCACCCCACCCCGAACCTGGAATCGATCGCGCCGGAAGCCACCTCCGAAGGCTGCCCGGTTGAGAGACGTGAACATTTGATCGGCAGCACGCGTGCGAAGAACATCTCACCGGGAATTCACACGCGCGAGCAAACGCACTTAAAGCGTGCCACGTGGTCGGGTACGCGCGTGTTGTGGAGGTTCACGGTATTGCCTTGACGAGTTGGGTGAAGTCGGCACGTGCTTGAATGCTCGCTTCAGTTGAGTCACTGATTATTGTTGCTGGGTTTTTTTTTGTTTAAACGAGAGATGAATCGTGATCGTTGGTTTTCGACCTGCAGCACACCATGTACGAAACTGCTGCGTTGTCAAAGGCTGCTTCATTGTCGGCAAAATAAAAGGCAGTGCAGCGAAATGCATAGTTGTGCTATACTTCTATGCCTCTTCGTCTATGCCTCCCGCCTTAATCAACCCGCAGCGACCAGCGTGAAGTTATAGGTCAAAGCTCCCACCCACCAAAACCCACAGCACGTGTTTTGAGAGGCTCTCCACCACTCGGCAATGGGGGGGGGGGGTCTATTGAGCTGGGAATGTTACCGGGACTAGCAGCACTTGACCTGCAATTGCGCAATAAAATCACGAGGTGGCGCAATTCCACTACCTTTACACATCCGTGGTGCGTTGTACTCACGAACAGATTGACGTAACGATCAGTAAACCACCGTCAAAGACATCATCGAGAATTATCATACAAAGAGGCTGCTTGCCTGGACAGGAGGATAACACTGAAGGCAAGGCTGTGCGTTGGACACACAGAACAACATTTATTATTGATTGCCCTACGTTTATAATAAATACGATCTTTACTCAAACGACTAATCCTCAAACGGCTAATATAAAATCTGAATTCTCCAGCACAACCCAATAAAAAAAAAGACGTCAAGTCAAATTCATTAAGCGAGTCGATACATCCCGCGTACCAATGCCCAGACTCTCACGGACTCCGTCATCAACGAATGGACGGTAGTGGAGCGATGAGATTCAGACGTTGATTCGAATCTTTCGTGACTGCAGGAATCCACACTCTTTGGTTATTTCGGTAAAGTCACGTAGGTACAAAAATAAAAAAAAAATCGCGACGTTTCGGGCGCAACACAAGCGTCCGTCATCAGGTGGACGCTTGCGTCGGGATTTATTTTAATTTCTACCAACGTGACTTTACCGAAAGAACCAACGAGTATAGAGACTCAGACGACCAACAGGACAAGGCTGTAGGACGGGGCCGCTGCTTCTCCAGGAAGCGTTCCCACGAGGCGCAACTCGAGTTTGAACTCGAGGTTCCGCCGTAACTAATTTTTGTTTTGTTCCCAACTTCAGTTGCCCACTCACTGTGGGCCCGCAGCCAGAATTTCCCGAGGGGGCCGCATTCCCAGCGGCGCCGCGTGCCGGCCTGGGATTCCCTGGCTGGCGAGCGAGGTGGAACGCGGCCCCCAAAACTGCGGGCTTGGTTGGGATGGCAGGCGCGCTCAACTTCACTTTTCGTGTAAACAATGACCACTTAATTTTGTCGGCCAACCCAGAGCTTGACATTTGACTTCGCAGGCGTTAACGAGAAAAAGCCTTAACTTGCAATGACGTATTGCTGGGAAACGGCCTGCCCCACCCCCCCACCGCCACCATCCCACCACGTGCGAAACGAGAGCACCGCGAATCGTGCAAACGCCACCGCCTTCTTGAGATGTCGAGTTGTCCTTCAACTCTGGTCGAGTTTACCTCCTCCATGGAAACAATGTACTGTAGTTTAGCCGGGGGTAGGGGGGGGGGGATCACGCCGTACTGTGGGTGGCATCACCAAATAATTATTGGACGAGTGTTTCTCTCCACGAACATATAACACCGTTAATTAATAACACTTTTTGTCCGTGAGTCTTCTCTGGAACAAATGCGAACCCCCAGTCCGTCGACCTCGAGGCATTCTGGGCGACTTATGTTGAATGACGTTGATCAAGAAGGAGACCAGATAAAAGAAAGAGGTTTGACCAGCGGCCTCGTGAGCTTTCCCACACAATATTATTGATCACGATACAGGTTTTTGTTGGGTTAGATCGCGTATTTTTTTTAAAATGTAAATTTTTTAGTTGAGAGTTGTTTGTTAGTCAGCCTAGGAATTTTTTTTAAAAATTCGGTTAGTGTTAGCTTCGTTAAATACATTATCAGCCGATTGCTGTGTAATTGTGTCGATTCTATTCCAGTAATCTGTAGATACACTGTTACTCATTCTTACGTGTAAGGACATTGGTGATTTAGAAATGTCACTTTGTTCACTTCTACTAAGCTGCATTCCCTCTTTTAGCAATAATTCACGAGCTTTATGTAGTATACGCGATATAACCCCCCACCCCCCCCCCCCCCCCAACAAAAACCTGTATTATGGTCGCGAAAGCCTTCGTGTTCAACACGATTACATTTTTCTTGATCGGCTGACGGAGCTTCAGTGAACATTTATTTCGTCACGGAGATACAAAAACAACGTTTGTGGCTCCTCACAAGGCGCCCCCCGGAATACCGCGACGCGCTCGCCTTTCCACAAACTCGCCCTCAAAAATCGACGCACGCGTCAACGGGAATATCATCGGTTGCCAGTTGATCAATAAATATTGAATCGCTATCCTCACAAATAGATTTTTCATTAAAAAAAAAACAAGACACCTTTGCATATAAACAACCGAGCGGGCCTCGTTATGCAGAAAAATAAAAATAAAACCCGCGACGACTCGAGTGCCGAATGTAAACAGGACGGTGAATTTGCAGACACCGTCAATGAAATGTCTTCCATATCTCATCGGGATCATAGAGCTGCATGGACGTCTGGGTCGTTAACGTCGACATCGCTTGCACATTTCCAGAGTAGGCAGCGTCCCGGTATAACATTTGTGTGTTTATATATATTATAAAAAAAGGGTTCACAATACGGGCAGCATAAAGTCCGAGTCATGATCAAGAACAAATACAAAGGTTGGGAAAGGTGGAGCATTGGTTCCGCACAACCGCTCGACTACGAACCCGGTGACCAGAGCTCCATGCCCAGTCACGGCTAACGTCAGTGGCGAGTGAAGGCTGAACCGGTCACTTAATCATCAACCTGCATTATCCAGCGTGGTGAAGTATGCTCAAACGAACCCCACGGCCGATACGGCGTGTAGCAGTAGTCACAACATCAGCAATGGCAGTGCCGTTTTAGGAATGTTTCGAGACTTTCAATAATCCTGTAACGCGGCATAGACAAAACGCGATTAAGTTGATATGTTGTGGGGGGGGGGGGAGGCGTGGGGGGGATGAGGGGCACTCCGATTAACCGGACCTCCTCACTACAGCCATTCGACGACTTATCACCATTACGTGTTGAACTTCTTTAACACCGTACGTAGCCAACGGTGCCAACCGGAGGTGCGTGAATGAGCGTAAGCTACTCGACTCAATGCGGCAAAGTCCTCGCTCAACGCGTGTGCACGCAACCGCGTTCTCACTGTGACGCGCGGTTCTTCCATTTGGGGAATGCCTCTTGCGCAACGCGTAACGCGCTCCGTTATAACGTGGGACGCACCCCCGTTATAGCGCTGTTTCTGAGCTGTCGACGACGAACTCCTTTCTTGAGCTGCGTGGCTGAGCGGTACGATACAGTACGCGGAATGATACAGTAACGGTTATTTGTACAGCCATCTCCGCACCGTGTGTTCGTACATCGTGTGTCCACATCGCATGTCGCCAAACTTTATCGTGGCAATTATTTACGGGGAAATTGTTTTCGCCTAACTCGTTTTTCGCTTGACGCAGCGCTTTTCAGGAACGCATCTACCGCATTGAACGAGGACCTGGCTGTAGTTGATATTTCTTGTGACTATCATCATGCTATTCGCGTGTATTATGTCCCAATGAAACGTTCGCACGTCTCAAGCATGGATCCTAAATAACCGACGGGCGCATGGGTGACCCCACGCGTGTCACTGACGCGCGTGGAATGCGCGCGGCCACCTCGACGCCCTGAAATCGTGGCGGCTGGACGGGGTCACGTGACGGGATTACACCGTGTACGAATCTAAAACATCTATTCGTTAAAACACCCTTACCCGACGCGTGTGTCATTTGCTGGAGGAGGCGGCGGGGGGGGGGGGGGGGGGGTGATAATCGATTCATCATTACGCCCCTTGCCGTGCATTGAGACTCGGAATCAGGGTTCGTGGATCGCACGGAATACGACAGCCGTAATTGACCTCGTTTCATCGCACGTACAATTTAATACGATCATCGATAAGGAAAGAAATGCTGGTCAAGCAATGCCTGTTTTAAACCAGTAAATTACGTTTTGGTTCAGTTTAATAAACTATTGGGCTCATTGTCTTGCAAAAAAAGGCAGACAAAGAGGGATGATTCACATTTTCTGAACGTTTTTCCGCCCCAATTTTGTGCGGAAAAACACGCCAATACCTCCGGAGCGACGGCGTGGTTCCAGATATCGCTCGCCATATCAGTTGCGAGCGATATCTGAACCGGACACTGCAGCGGCCACCATCGTAGAGTACAAACCCCTGACACCGGCGTGGCGTGGCTTGGCCTCCGTCCTGCGGAAGATTGACAAAAGCGTGGTACATTTTTAAAAAAAAAATATCCATTGGCAGAAAAAATGGTTCGAACTTTAGGGCTACGCACTCCGGTCGTTTCATGGAGATGTCTGTGCGAATCTGTTCCCAAAACACCAAAGGCCACATCACGGAGCAATCTGTACGCACACGAGTTAGCTCAAATCCGTAGAGATCCCAGATATCTATCCCTGCACGTGTATTCAAATCCAAAAGGGCCCCAATTTTGCGACAACTCTCCGACAGAATGAATGAATGCCCGAGTGCGACGTGACGTACCAAAAAAAAACAACGACCCCTGCCTATGGGTCCACCCAACGGCATGAAATGTGTACGTCACAGTCGAGAGGCTGATCGTGTGTCAAGTGTGGGTGACGCCCCACCGCTTCCAAGACGTCTGTCCGATGTGGAAGAGTAGAGCAAAAACAAAAAAAATCCCCCTCTCGAACGACACTGGAGGTCCTAGTTGGAGTCCCTCTCCGTCAGCGGTGGTGCTAGTGAGAAATTGCGAGCCTGCGACCTTTACCCTCGGCCGCGTCAAGATTATTTCTGGCAGAGGCGACTTCCTCTCTCTAATCTCGCAAGGGGTTCGTGCATTCATTCATAAAGGCATTAAAACGCCGCGCGCGTGCGTGTGTGTGTGTGTGTAGCTAATGCCCAAGGTGTGTGCGATATTAAGTACAAATACTAAGACGTTAATGACCACAACGGCGTAGTGGCCGCAGATAGCCGAGCAAAATGCCCATGCATTTCTAAGGCAGTGGAGTGACTGTGTGAGTGTGCGCGGCCAATGCCAACTACACACACATTGTATTTACAAATGCGCACACATATACTGTTTGTATATCTAAAAATCATGTATATATAAAATAAATAGTAATAAAGCAATGATCAATGCTCGTCAAAACGAAGGAAGCGTAAACGTCCGTTCGATCGTGAGCTGCCAAGGAATTTTACGAAAAATTTGGCAAAGAAATTACCCCGTGCCGAAGCTTTGCCGCGAGTTGCATTGGTCGGATAAAAATAAACATTCTCCGAAACCGCATCATCATCATCATCACCACCACCACCGGCATCATCACCATCACCGCCATCGTCGTCGTCGTCATCGCTTTTGTCGGAGCGCGGCTGCGGGGACTCGGGGTAACCGAGGAGCAAAACAAAGGCAAACCCGGCGCGCGCCCCTTCCACCCCAACTCCAGCGCTAGAGGGCGAGAAGCGTGGGCGAGCTGAGCGAATCCGAGGACTGCTCCCCGTTACTGCTGCTGGGCGCGCGCTGCGGCGGCGGAGGCGCAGCGCCACCCGCCTGGCTCCCCTCGCCCTGGCCCGAACCCGCGCCCTGTAGCAAGAACGGATGGTACCCCGACGTGGACGGGAAGGGACCCCCCATGGACGTGGCGGTGCCCGCGGCCGTGGCGGCAGATGACGCGGACGAGGAGGTCCCGGCGATGGGCTCGAAGTCAAAGTAGTAGCTGCCTGAGATGTTTGCTCCGGCCAACGGCTCCGCGCACTCCTGCTGCTGCTGTTGCTGCTGCTGCAGCTGCAGCTGCTGCTGTTGCAGCTGCGAGCCAGGCTGGAGTTCCCCCTCGCTCTTGGAGGAGGAGGAGGAGGGCGGGGGCACGCACACGAGGTGCGCGGACGCAGCGAGGGCACAGTCCTCCACGTCGTCTTCGTGGGCGATCTTGCAGGAGCCCTTGTGCGCCGCCAGCACGAGCTGCAGTCGCTCCTTCTCCTTGCTGAGCGTCTCGATCTCGGCACGGAGACCCGTGCTCCGGTCCTCCAGCTCGTCCGTCTCCTGCAACCCGGGCACGCACGCTGATGGACGCGGGCGGGGCGCACGCACGGGATGCGCAACGCTGCGCAGGCAACGTTGCTGCTCCAGCGTTAGCCTGCATCGCCCTCCTCCCGGGACCCCCGCCCGCCGTCCCCCCCGACCACCCGCCCCTGACAATAATGATCGGGCTGGTGGGGGGGGGAAAGAGCCGGCGAATTCAATCGTTATGGACATCGCAGCGTCACGCAGCGAAGGTTCAGCAGAGGTGGCCATTCATAATCGTCATCGTCGTCATCATTGCCACCACTGAAACCGGCTCTGAGATGGGAGGGAGGGAGGGAGGAGGAGACTTGGGGGGTTGGGGGTGGGGAGGGAGAGGAGAAGTAAGATTGGCTCTGGAGAGAGAGAGAGTGCACATCGAGGGGAAGACGTCCATCAGACGATGGGTGTTATGATGTTATTGTGTGCGGGTTTGGGTGAGCGGTGGCACAGTGGTTAGCGCACTGCGCTGCGAAACCGGCCACTTGGGTTCTATCCCTGGCCACAGCTTACTCCAGTGGTGATCATCTGAACAAATTCTGGGCTTCCCCGAGGTCGGCTCAGCCTAAAATAATTAGTAGCTGGTTGCGATGTGTAAACATTAGCAGTGGGGGAGACAAACGGCGACCGGTGTGGTGCTGGCCCTTCACCCCCTTGTGTGGCGTGCCGGCCTTCATAGGTGCTCGCTAACAACACTTGCCCCAACAGTCCATTAATGTTATACGGGGGATATCCGTGTATAAATCAACCTCTTATTGTATCTGTGTAACGTCGCTTAAATTTACTGTGTCAATAGTAATGGAAGAAGATATTGTATTTTTGAACCCCAGATGGGTAAAACGACGTGATAAAATAATACAATATACTATTCCACACTTGTCTAAATGAGTAGCGTGTCTGATGTCACGGTGACACCTATTACTACTATAATAGCCCAAAAAACGTGTGTAACGCTTGTGACGTCACTCCACATGCCGCACCCCCCCCCACCCGTCATTAATAATAAAATAATCACGAGCGGGTGGATTTTTACACTCACGCGGAAGAAGGTCGAGTGGAAAGATATTTTTTTTCGCAAAGTCGCTTCAAAATATGACGTTTATTTACAGAAAGTGACGGGCAAAAATAAATCTACTCAGTACGGTGTTTACATCCGTCCGTACGTGACGTTTCTTTATTGAAAGTTACGAAAGTAAATAACTCTACGCAGACGTCTCTTTACGTAAATATTACAGCTTACGTCCTAGGACGGACACAAGGCGAGTATTATTATTACAATACAGCTTTTGTGTAGAGCTCCCACAGCCCAGCCGCTCGCTCTCTCTCTCTCTCACTTCTTCTCGAGGCTTACCCCACTCTTCACTTCCTTCAACTCCCTTGAGCCGCCCTTCAACTGACAGCCACGCGGTTGTCCGCCCATCACACACCCCACGTGACACCTCACGTCACATCCACGTCACACCCCACGTTACACCCCACGTGACACCTAACGTCACATCCACGTCACCCCCCACGTTACACCCCACGTGACACCTCACGTCACATCCACGTCACACCCCACATTACACCCCACGTTACAAATCAACGTCACACCCCACGTCACATCCCACGTCATAAATCCACGTCACAACCCACGTCACACCCTACGTTACACCCCACGTCACAAATCAACGTCACACCCCATGTCACACCCCACGTCATAAATCCACGTCACACCCCACGTCACATTCCACGTCACACCCCGCGTCACACCCCATGAGCTGTAGGCCCAGGGCTGCATCCACTCAGGGGGTGCTGCTGGTGGTGACAGTCAGCGCCACGAGTCGGCAGTCCCTGTAGTCTGTAGTTTCCCTGTTGTGGTGCCGCATTCCCTTTGCCACAACAGCGCCTCTCAATTCCCGTACACACGAGGCAATGTCTTCATGAGGATCGCCTTTCACTACACTTGTACCAGATGTGCATTTCTCTAGTACAGCCATGGAAAGGTTCCTGTAATGTGGTCAAAGATGTTAAACAGTGCATGGGTCAGAGGACATCCCTGTCACTTATACGGTTGTGTGGGTTATCATGGTCTCTTGTGTTGTTATTCGGTTAAACAAACACTCTTGGCTTGAGGTGAACAGGAAATGGCTCTGACTCCTGGTCATGCAGTTTCATGCGTGGGTATTTCATGCCATCAAAACACTCCGCCCCCTCAGCTCTCCATGATAAACAGGGCAGTTATGGAAAGGGTGGAGGAGTTCTCATACGTGGACGGTGTGCTAATGACCATCTCCCGGTGTGGCGGCAGGAGGTTTAACTTCGAATCAGTCGAGTGGCTGGCAATCGACACAAAGACGGTGGTCACCGCCACCGCGCGGCGCTTTCAGATGCGCTTCTGCGGCCGTCTGGAACGCTCTCTTCCTTCCGATATTAGGAAGCCGCTGGGAGCTGTGCACTTTTAAAGCATCTCAATTGAAAATGAATTTCTTTAGAACTGCTTTTTGTGTTTGGTTTGTTGACCTTCCCCCCCCCGCACCTCCGATAAGCACGGCTACGTATGGTGCGAAAGAAGCTAAACGTACATAGACACGAGCGACGTTACCTTTCCATCAGGTGTGCAATCTTCTGTTGAAGCTGCCTTACCTATCGCTCCGTTAAAAAAGCTCCGGGTTCTCCTCGGCCACAGTTACACATTCACTAATACATGTATGCACAATTTTAACTTATTAAGGACACTCAGAGGCGTGGGAGAAAACTAAGTGAAATCGGAAAGCCTTGAGAATCCGAAAGCATATGAAGGATGGCACCAACGCTGATGTGTAGAGTGGAGGGACACAATTCCAGATAATCACTGGAACTGAGTGAACTTGCCAATGGTGTCAAGATCGGCCCCTGCGGAGGAGGCTTGTGAAGGAAGCTACTGGGCAGTTGATAGCAGTCGCTCTCCAACAACAGAGGAGGGCAGAGGAGCGATGCTCACAACAACGATGGCACAATATGAGAGAAAGTTGATGCATCTGTCAGCCATCTCAGTCAGTAAACCCATGGCACCTGGGTCTGTCCCGTGACCTCCTGTCAGCGAGCCTTCCACACTTCACATGGGCTTAAGATGCACCTAACCTGGCACAAGCACTGTGGTGTGACACCGCTGCTACACAGGTGGCGAATGTGGGTTGTCGTGCTCGTGTGCGCGTGTGTCGGCGTGATTGTGTCTCCTCACCGACTGTAGTCTCTCCGTCAATTCTCTCCGCCTGTTTCGGCAGCGCGCGGCCGCCTGTTTATTCCGCTCGCGGCGAACTCGACGTCTTTCCGCCTCCTCCGGCGAGAGCTGCAACAGAAGGGGCGGTGATGTGTTAGCGTGTTGGGGTGGTGACGGGTAAAGTTTCCAAGGGGTGGCGATGTGAGCGTGGCGATGATAACATGAATGTGGTGATAATGTGGTGGTGATGGTGATGTTGGGGTGGTGGTGATGTTGGTGATGTTGGCGTGGTGGTGATGGTGGTGTTGAGGTGGAGGTGATGTTGGGGGGGGGGGGGGGGTGATGGTGAAGGTGATGTTGGGGGTATGGTGATGGTGATGTTGGGGGTATGGTGATGTTGGGGTGTCAGTGATGGTGATGTTGGGGTGGTGGTGATGTTGAGGTGGTGATGGCGACTTTGGAGTTGGGCACAATCTCTTGATTAAAACACTGGCGATAACGCTTCATTGTTGTTTATGCAAATCAAATGCAAATATTTCGTTTTGACCAATGAACAAACAAGATAACAATAAAATATCGATGATTGAATCGAAAATAGTAACCTGATGTTGACAATTCATGAAACCCACAGGAATGAAGGGGAGGATGGCATCCGACAACTGGTACATTTAGTTTAGTTTTCGTCCAATCTTATAGCGCAACATGCGATACACGCGCTCCATTCCTGCGTTTCACAGACCGGTCTCGTCTGCAGTAGTTTTACACGAAGGGGCAACAATGGCGCCTTGTGGATTTCGTCAACTCGCAAGGAAATTGACAAATTCTGGACCATAGGGGCCGTCCATAAATGACGTCACGCGATTTTTGATCCCCCCCCTCCCTCTCGTCACACGGCGTCACAAAAAGTCAGACCCCCCCCCCTGAAATATGACGTCACAAAGCTCTGCCCCCCCCCCCCCAACCATGCTTACTGTTAATGTTGAGACTCAGGTTTGCCGTGATGCAATGCATTATTATTATCATCATCATCAGTACAAAGTGCATGTAACACATTGAGGCGATGCCACTGGTGTGTGTTGTCGCTACAATTTTAGGTTAATGTTGGATAAATGCCTCCTGTTGTGTTGGTCACGGGCAGGGGTCGCCAACCAAAGTAACAAGAAGATAATTTCATTGATGAATTCGGTATATATATAGAAAAAACAACCCTCAATATTATAAGAGCCACAATGCACTGTGGTGGCGAATACAAGACGGTGGTGCTTAACAAATAACGTCACGAAGCAGTCCTTAAAGAGCCGCGTGCCGTGCATGAGCTGCAGGTTGCCTAATCACACTGACCGACCATCGTGGTGAAGTATGGCCAGGCAGGCCCCTTTTGACAGACAAAGAAGCCGTGAACGATCGCGATTGCGCTATTGCAGTCCCGAGCAATTTGCATGCCGTGATGCTGCATTGCAGAGCAGTGTCGTAGGAGGGGGATCCATTTGTATCAACTATGAGTCAGAAGACAGCGCTGCTAAACCGGGACTGCGTCTAAACTCACAGCCCCACCCCCAGCCCAGACAATAAACCCGATCACCCCCCCCCCCCCTTTATCCCCATTTCCCACCCTTCCCTGTCATCTAGCCTCCTTTGCCCCCCCCCCCCCCGCCCACATCAAGGAGGAGATATCATATCTTTATCATTATTCACTGCTGTATACGCTCCCCTAAACCCCTATCGAATCATTGGCATCTCATAGTGACCTCGCGATGCCACAATCCATCTGGCTCCTGGTCGCGAGCTAATTTCATTGCTCCATCGCCACGGTCGGGCGTCTTCCATCGTCACGGGTTGCCACTCCGTCGTCGGTCTTGAGCGGCCACCGCCAGCGCCTGAGTCCGCAATCACAAGCTTCTTTACTTTCCTTAACAGTTAAGAGGGTGACTCAAACCAGTGCCGGATTAAGCTAGTGCGGGGCCTGTAGCATCTGTTATAAAGGGGGCCCTAAATGTAAAAAAACACATAAATATTAAAAACACCATTTTTTTACTTGTGCTATACAGCCAGATGACACGACAAATCGCTAACCTTAAACACCCAGTCGTTGGTAAAAGTTGAAGGCAGTATAGTACTACAGTAATAGAGAAAGTGCAGAATCACTGAACCGGAATTGATAGCTTGAAAGCATTTAGCGTGGGGCCCTTGAAAGTGCGGGGCCCGTAGCTGCATATGCAGCTACTTTCGCTACTAGGATAATTAAATCCGGCACTGACTCAGACTGTTGTTTGTTCTCCAATCCACTCGGTTTGCCTCCCTGCCTCTCAGCGTCCAGGAGCCGCCAAGCTTCCCCCACTCCGAGCCTGCATCGTGATTGCTTTCGCTCGGCTCACGTTGTCCTGGGCCCTTGGTCGAGATGGCCCCCGCACTCGCAAGGGGTTCTCACTGCGGCAGCCAAGCTCCTCCGTAGTATGGAGGTGGATCAGGCGTCACCCGCAGGTCCGCCCGTGGTTCATGTGGCCCTGGTGGAAGAGTTTCGGCCACTCGCAGTCTCATCTCAGCGGGTGATGTCGCTTGCATACAAAACAAAACACCCGTATCGTGTAACGTCTTGGGTTCCCAGCCCTTATTTCTAGCCCCACAACGGTACCTGTCATGTGTATTACTTTAAGGGTGATTGCCAAATGTGTTGAGCCTCGAATTATAAGCGTATATAAAAACTAAATTACGAACGTGTTTTTTCCATTACTTGTGGTGATGACTTGGCAGAGATCATCTCTCTACACCTTGAGAACCTCGATTGACTCGACTGCTCACTCAGGTTGTGTTCCATTCTGTTTCGCATTTATATAGTTGCCCTTGCCAGGGCGCTTCACACAGCATGCCGACGGTCAATCTACTTCGAGATGAAGTCCTCTCTGCGACTTTCACGACAGTGGCTTCGCTATACCTGCACACGCTAGCCGGTCCAGGTTGGTGGAGGGGGTACAGCTGCATGGTCGGTTCGGTTATCACTATTGTTCGCCGGGGCCGGGATCGAACTCGGCATAATTGATATCTGACTCAGTGCGCCAACCCACGACACTACAATTCATGGGACCTGTTTGCCGGTGTCAAAATATGAAAAGTAGGAATAGCTTTTGTGGCAATAAAGTCGGTGCTAAGATGTTCAAACACCAAATAACAACCTTTTGCAAAGGAATCATGTCTGCATTAACCACACGCAGTACTTGTGGTGAACGCTGCAAACAAAACATGTTCGGATAATGATGCATTGTCTTTGAAACTGTTCGCCTTTTGGCGTTCTCTGTTCTGACACTGGTGAGACTTGGCCCTAGAGAAGGCTGTCTCTGGTGTAGGCCAATCGGTTTCAAAGACGATGCATCAAATATTATCAGAGCGTGTTTGTTTGCATGTTCACCACAAAGCACCGTGTGCGGTTAGTGCAGTAACTCGATTCCTTGCGAAAGAGTTTTCTATTTGCCGTTCGAACACCTTGACACCTCCTGTTTTATTGCCACGAAGGCTAAAAACCTCCTCTTATTTTTTTCTCACAAACACCACAATTCCAACCGTACCACAGCCGAAAACTCTGATCCGAACCCAGACGCCCCCCTCGCCGCCGCCGCCGCCGCCACCCCCCACCCCGTCCCGTTCAGTGACGCCGCCCCCGGCCATCACGAACCATCCTCCCGCAGCACGCGGGGGCCGTGCATTGACGATGCTGCTTACTGCCCAGCGCCGCGGTTCAAGTGACGATGACTCACTCGCACACTCACTCACCGAAACGTGCCGTCCGAATGAAAGCGTTGCGGACGGGCGATCGGACGAGATGCGTGCATTCCTGGGCCGTGACTCTGTCCCGAGAGACGCGATGGAGAGACTCACCCATCCCATTCGATCGCACGTGTCGCCCTCCACCGCTCGCCCCCCACCCCCCCATGCCCCCCCACCACCGCGTTGTAATCTTGGCCGCCGGTTTAATATAATACCACTGACGGGTAAATCATCGGGTGAGTTGTGTGACTCGTGCTGCAATGGGCCGTCGTTTTGTGTGTAATAGCGGCATTCACAATAATAGCCATTTATTTGAGCAGGATGAGTGCAACTGAGAAGGAAAGACAATTTTTTTTTTCAGGTGGGGGTCCCTCCTTACATCTGGGCATGAGGCCCAATGGCGTGGGGATTTTTGTTGTTGTTGTTTTCGGTAATTGGCGGGGCGGTGCTCACGAGTCGTGGCGACGGCGTGCGTGCCCGCCTGCTGGGCCCTACAGCAGCGGCGGGCAACGGAAATAACAAGAAGAGGAATTTTCTGTTGTTGTTGTTGTTGTTCCGAATCATTTAAGAAACTCAGCGTTTCAAGAGCCACGATGCACTGTGGTGGTGATTTCGAAACGGCGGGGTCCTCAATAATTGACGTCACGAAGCGGTTCCTTTAAAGAGCCGCAGGCTGCCGACCCCCGACCGACAAGAACATTCCCCCGCATTGAGCCCCAATCTCACAAAGATCTAGAGAGCGAAGCATGTTCGAGTCTGGTTAATGTTTGTATGGGCACCCACCATGCATAACATGTGCTGTGGGATTACGGGGCTACGCGTAATATGGTTCATGCAATTTCATTGGAGGGGGTAGGGGTTATTCTACATTTGCTGTTGGGGCTACGGACTTGGGCAGAGTATTGCCTTTTCACATCCCCATCATCAGCCATGATCGATCCACTGCTGGATGAATACATCCCAAAGGAAAAATCGGAGGTTCTGCTGGTTGGCACTCAGGCTCAAGTGAAAACATTTGAGGGGATGGGGGGATCAGGTGTGGCGGTCGCAGACTCCAGGAGTCAGTATTCTACTCATCTAAAGAGCCTCGGCGTCATACTCGACCAGATTATGTCGTTTGATCACCACGTGCAAGATAAAGTCAGGTCCTGCAATTTTCCTATCAGCGTTCAACGACACATTTGACCACAACTGAGTCATGACGTAGCCAACACGTTGGCGCGTAGCATCGCATTGACGCGGCTCGATTATTGCAACTCACTGCTCTACGGGACTTCTGGAAGAAGAAAGGAAACCATTACCAAGTTGCAGCATGTACTAAATTCTTTGGCACGTGTCGTGACGGGGTACTGCAAGCTCCGATCATGTCTGTCCAGCACTTGCCGAGCTGCACTGGTTACCAAACGAAATACATTTTAAGGTCACACTCTTTACACACAAAGTGCTTGCCACAAATTATCCACAATGTCTCGCTGATCTCGCCAAGCAGGGGCGGAGCCAGGGCGGGGCGGGGGTGACAGGGTAGACAATTGTCACCCCCGAAAAAAAATAAAAAATCTAAAATCTGAAACATTCTTGCGTATAAGTGTACGACACTCGGTCTGGCGGACTCCGTGCAACTGCATTGTCAGAGCGTGTCGCCAACCGATGGCGTCTAGTTCAACAGCCTGACTCTCTAATCATTCTTGAAATTAACATTTGTTGAATGTCACCCCGGGCTGAAAATCCTGGCTCCGTCCCTGTCGCCAAGGAGCAATAAACCATCACACGAACTCCGGTCATCCTAGCAGCAGCGGCGGCTTTGCCGAGCCATTGAACAAAGACGGTGGTCACTGCATCGCGGGGCGCTTTCAGATGCGCCTCTGCAGCCGTCTGGAACGCTCTTCCTTCCGATATTAGGAAGCCACTGGAGCTATGTGCACTTTTAAATAATCTAACTCAATTGTTTGGAACTGCTTTTTATGTTTAATTTGTTGTCCTTCCCACTGCACCTCCGATGAGTGCAGTTGGCTACATTCAGTGCAAAAGTATGTCAACATACAAACATCTCTCAATGCTGTTGTGTAACAACGTCGTACTCCCCAAAAAAAAAACACACACGGACCTAAAAGTACCGATCAGCGGTAATCGAGAATCGAACCGTCTCACTTTGCGTGGAGGTGGCACCGCTTTGTGTCTCGTGGCTGAGCTGTAACTCAACTCGAGTAAGCGTTTGGGTGTCGCGAGACGCGACGGACGTCGCGGTCGCGCTGGTGTCGAGTGGGATGCGGTGGCCGATTCATTACATCTCATAAATTAGTCACGGCAGCTCATGCCGCAGGTTGGCATTTTTGGTGGTCGCGCTTAGAGTTGTCTCGGATATGGAAATGTAACCGCGCTCGCACGTACAGTCGGTGCGTACGCACACGCACGCACGCGCAGGTTGGACGCTGGACTGGAGAGAATGAAAAGCACAGCTGTGCAGCCGAGGAAGAAAGTTTTCAATCAGTTCATATTAATAATGATGTCAGATAAGTGCGGCCTGGCACAGACCGTTTCTAGTCCCGTAACTTTATGATTGTTCTCTATGCTATTCCATGATCAAAAAAAATCTATTCATTTTCTAAATCTCCATCTGTGTTACTTGAAGTAAATACGTGACCTGAAGTTGTTATAAGTGAGAGATGCCAATTATGGTGTTGACCTTACGACATCTTACAAGGTCAGCCCGGCTAAGAGCGAGCAGCTCCTTGTGAAAAGCGAGCCTCATGCACCACTTGAAGTGGAATGGCGCAGCTCAGTTGAAGCTCTCATAGCCCAGTTTTCAAGTGGGCTGAGTCACTTTTCCTGGATCTCAATCTGGGCCCGCGTGCTTTTCAGTGGTCGGCATTCTACCAAATGAGCAGGTTTGACCGGGACAGTCCCAGTTTCGAAAATGAGGATTTTGTCTTTGATTTAAAACACCTCTGACCTCAAGCTTGGCTCATGATACGAGCAAGGGACTGGGCAGTGGGCGGGGCTATCTGGACAGTGGGCGGGGCTAGCAGATGGGTGGGTGGAGCCTAAAGGAAGTGGGCGAGGCTAACATCTAAATAAGCCGGGGCCGTTCATTGATGTCTGACGGAGGGATGGCCCTGCCAGCTTTGACGTGCGCCCAATTTGAACCTCCGAGAAACGTGGCAGCTGTAGCGGAATTGATAACGCGCAACTCGACGACAGAACAGTCCAGTCCTCCCTCTCATGCAAACAATACTCACGTCTTCATCTCTGCGCCTCCGTCCTCCCAGAGAGCGAGCCTCCAACCCCACCTGGTGGCCCTGGTGTCGAATTCCGCTGGGGCCTGGCTGCTGGGCCTGTTCCTCCTGCCAGCTGGGGCCAGGCGGGGCCGGATCCGGTTCCACATAAGCGGGAGGTGGGACGCCGGGGTATTGGTGCGATGAGGCAGAGGAGGTGATCACGGTCGACTGGACCATCCACTGGAGATCCTGGCTGGTGGTGATGGCCGTCACAGTGGGGACGAACAAGCCCTGGCTTGTGCTGGGCACATCCACGCTGTAGCCCTGAATGGGAGGGATGTCCATGTTATATTGGTGCGAGGGAGAGAAGGGTGGGAAGCATGGGTGGGAGCACGATGACATGGCTAGAGTGATTAATATTATTGATTATTCATCATCAGAAGAAGTAAAGGAACGAGGGGAGAGGCCATTCGGTCTATCTTCCTCGTCTGGGAAGACACAATTGCCTAAGTTCTGGGCTGCTAACGGGGGGGGGGGGGGGGGGGGGGGGGGAGTAACTTGTAATGTTTAACTCAAATTGAGTAATTTATCAAACGTGGTAAATGTGGACAATGACATCAGCACACAATGGCCTAGTCAAGGGATCTCTAACCTCTATTACGAGTGACAAACCACTGGCCCATGTCACCTGCCATGAAGATGCTGTTGAGGATTTTTTTCATGATGCTGGTGTCGCTGCTTATGGTTGTATAAAGTGACTCCTCAATTTGCTTGCTAAGGAAGATCAGCAACATTAACATGTATTTATTTATTTTTCTTTCTACGTGACTTTACCGAAAGAACCAAAGAGTAATTCCTGCAGTCACGAAAGCTCCAAATCAAGTATGATTAATTAATCCATATTCTGAATAGTTTACGTTTATGCTTTTCACACGCCTTCATGATCACCGTCGCTCAAGCATTGTTTCACCTGCCACCACTTTACACGCTCCAGGCTTGCCAATGCACCTCTGATGAGCACGCTTGGCTACGTATGGTGCGAAAGAAGGTCAACATACTAACAGTGCACACACTGCACGGACGATATCCACCTTTCAGAGGCGGATATCGTAGTTGAGCGTTGGTGATTTGTAATACAACACGGACACAATTCAGGGCACACGATCTTCAGGCATTTCCCTATTTTATCATTGAGCGTATTGACAATCTCACGACTCTAAAACTGAAGATCAAAACCAATATATTATTTGAATGTAAATGCATGTGATAACGTGTGTGCAACAACTAGTGTTGTCAATATCACAGTATCCTGCATTGACTAATGGCGGTATCAGTGTTCCACAGAACAAATTATTCGCCGTAAATGTGTCTACTGTCTAATAATATCAATACAGTAGACTCTCGATTATCCGCACAATTGCCGGGCAGGACTGCCACGGATCATTCATAATCGCCGATAATCCAAAAATATAAAATTTCAGCAGATCTCTATGCCAAAAAAACACTCATATAGGTATAAATTATGTTCAAGCTAAGAAAATGGAGTCTGTTAATGAACAAAACTAAAATTGTAGTAAATAATGTATTGATCTTGTTTTATTACAAAAGTCCAGAAGCCTCCCACCCACTAAGTGGATAGCAGAGCCACGCCAATCAACATCAAACTCCGCCCGCCGTTGTAAAGATATGGTAACGACTGTAATGTAGCGACGATCACGTGGATTTAGGATTAAGCGGAGCAACATATTTGTTCGGTTGAAGCATGTGACTTGTAATACAAATGTTAAAAATCTACAATGTACAACTTGACTTAAAGCTTTCATGACTGCAGGAAGTTATAGTCTTTGTGTCTTTCGGTAAAGTCACGTATATAGGTTACAAAAGTAATAAAATAAACAAAAAAAACCTGCGACACAAGCATTCGTCATCAGGAAGAGGAAAATTTCCTGACTAATGTACAACTGTTTTGAGATGAAGGGAAAATCCACGAGTTATTAATTTATGTCAAAAAAAAAATCTCAGGTGCGCGGTTAATCCGCAACCCGGCTAAAGCGCACGCGGAATAATCGAGAGCCATCAACCGCTCACTCTTTAATATCCCCCTCGGCTTACACCTTGCAACGCTTCTCGACCGCTCCATTTAACATCACTGCCCCACCGCCGTGACCAGCCTCGCTGGTCCCCCGGCTCTGTAATCTTCGTCCCCGCGTCCACGAACGCTCGGTGGTGTTTGGGCGCGCGTCTTTTTTTCTTTCCCCACTCGCTTTCTGTTTCCCGTGCTTTTTTTTAAATTCCCCCCCCCCCCCTCCTCCTCCTCCTTTAGCCTGAGCCTACGCACACATTGGGGGCCACCTAATGCCACTTAGTCTGGGCCGCTCCCAGATATGCGCCTCCGACGCCGCCGCTGATTTCTTCAGTACCTTAAATGCCCTCCCGGCCTCGATAACTCGGCCCCTACCCACCCCCCCTCCCCCCCCTACGGATGTCCAGGGAGCGGTGCCTCTGAAGCTCCTGCGACTGGCGGAATCTTTTGAGCCACTGGCTCCCATTCGGAACCTCAACTCTGCGTCCGAGGCGTTGGACAACAAAAAAACATCTCACGTGCATCCGTTCGGCCCGTGCACCGGGTCATCTACGGATGGAGATTCCCCACCCCCCTCCTCCCCCCACCCCCCCCCCCCCCAAAAAACTGGTTCTTATAAAGCCTTTCATTTGTTTTTTTTTACAACGCAATTATTTCTGGATTAATACAGCACGAATGAGTTCAGGGATTAAATTAAAACAATGTTTTTACTATACTATATATACAGAAACAGAATAAACGTTAACTAAAGGATCTGAATAGTTTGTGATAGCTGAATGTCTATTATACTTTAGGATACCACCATGTAAATAGTATGTTGAAAAATAACAATATAAGTATTCACATAATCAGCAATAAATAATCACAATTTACACAGATTAACTTTAAAACATATCAATGAATAATAGCAATCCACAACTAGAACAATGCTTTTTAAACCTAACTAATAAATAACTCACTGACTAACCACCTCAACTACAGATTACTGCACAACAATCTCTTTGAGCAGCAATTTGTTGACTTTTTAAATTTCAAATCCCCAACATTTCGAATCAAGCGTTGGGCATGGAGTCGACTCTCCGTGTCGCCACCAAAACAGAATCGATTCCAAACCGTTCCGAGCCACGGCAATGCGGGAATCGATTCCTCTGGGATCGACTCCCCCCCACCCACCCCCCCCGTGTCTGCTCGTCTTTCGCATCAACCACCACCACCACCAACCACTACCACCACCCACCAACTTCACCACCACATCCAATGCACCCCAGCGCCACAACGTCGGTTCGCAACGCACGCGATATGACCGCACAGGTGATCACGAGCGGAGGGAGCGGTGGCGCGGTGGTTAGCGCACCGCGCCGTGAAGCCGGCCCCGATCAGTTCGACCCGTAACGGAATTCATTTCGGTTGGGCGACCGAACATTTGAACGGGGTCCTCGATTTTTGGCCGCCTTGTCTTGAGCAGTGAAGTTCTTAGGCACCCCTATAGCCCACACTGTGTGTGGGGGGAGGGGGAGCTGATGCAGTGATCAGTGCGTTGACAATATCGGCCGTGCATTGTTATTAAACACACTAAAGAGTGGTGATAATTGCAAGCACGGCACTTACAGCCAAGCCTCGCTCTAGTTCGTAAGACGTCATCACGACGGCCCCGCAAAGAGGAATGTTTGTGCAGCTCATGTTTTGAAACAAAGAGTTGGTTCTCGTTTGTAGGCGCCACGGTGGCTAGGAGATGTTAACTACCTCGCCTGGTGTACAGGAGGTTGTGGGTTCGATCCCGACGCCTGCTGCTTATTTGGAGTTTGCGGTGTCTCTCTCTCTCTCATCATCATAACGGTGGCTAGGAGATGTTACCTACCTCGCCTGGTGTACAGGAGGTCGTGGATTCGATCCCGACGCCTGCTGTGTATTTGGAGTTTGCGGTGTCTCTCTCTCTCATCATCATCACGGTGGCTAAGAGATGTTACCTACCTCGCCTGGTGTACAGGAGGCCGTGGGTTCGATCCCGACGCCTGCTGTGTATTTGGAGTTTGCGGTGTCTCTCCTCGTGGTCGCCTGGATATTTCTCCGGGTCCTTCGGTTTTCCCCTCCACATTTTTAATCAACATCACGAGTTTGGAATAGTTGGCCTCTTTAACAGTTTCACATAAGCCACTTCGTTGAGCTATCATTTGAAAAAGAGCGATATAGCTCAGTTGATCTGACATGGTAAAATAAAAAAAGAAAGTTTCGTTTGGAAGCAACCAGGCAACTCGGAGTAAACCTCACAATGAACTCACAAGCGCTGCCATCTGCTGGTCATCTCACAACCCCCAATGCAGCCTACAGTGCCTGGCGAGCCCTTAATGGTCACCTGTGTAATCGATAACCTGCACCATCCTACTCGGCTTCTAAGAATTGACGATTGTCATCATTGTCATCATCGTCAATGATGATAATTGAATACGCATTGAATGTCTCGTCTTCAGCCGTCCTCGATCCGAACGTTGGTCGCACCACGGGCAACCCTTGGCCCACTGACTTCTGTCTTCTGCTATCCTCATTGTCTGTTCCAGCGTGAGCCTCGTCCGTGCTTTGATGTCATCCATCCACTGTTATCCTTGGTCACCCTCGCGCACGTGAGCCGGGTGTTGTGCCTTGCGTGATCTTCTGGTGCGTACTCGATGTGGTTGGCTTGTCGGAGAGCGGACGGCACGCGGAGCTTTGTATTTTTACATAATCTTGGGGTTACGAGCGTGGCAATTTCACGAATCTCGACGCGATTCACCAGCCCAGAGAACACCCAGCGTCTTCTTTGCCTCCGTGCGCACACTTGCATCCACACCTTGCAACCTATTACTGTGGCCCCCGGATCGTGTGCTTGTGCATACAAATATGGGGTTGACCTTGTGACCCTGATTAACGTTAAGTTATGCTATTTCGGCTCCACATACGCGTGCACAGCGGTCACAATGTTTACACCCCGCGGCAAGATTCCACGTGCAATGGCCCTAATTAAAACGAGACGGTTCGTCTCAATGTTTACACATCCGCACTCCTCTCGTACCCCGAGATCGCATTCATTAGCTACGAGCGGGATTGTGTTCGCGCTGCCTTCAAGTGCGAGCAACAACCACTGCGCACATTCACGACACCGCCACATTTTTAGCCGCCCCCTCCACCCCCACCAATTATCTAAGTCTCTCCACGTGCCTTTGTCTTTGTGTGGGTGTCTCTCTCACCGTCTCTCAGTCTCCCCGTCTCTACGTGCCCACTCTGTCTCGCGGTGTCAACATCTCGTATTGTCGCTCGCCGCACTCTTCCGTCCGTCGTCTCAATCCTCGTCGTGTCTCCCTGTCTTTCCGTCCGTCTGTCTTTCTCCGTGTTCTCCGTATCTCTCTCCGTGTCTTTCTCCGCGTAGCTCAGTCGGTGTCTCTCGGTGTCCCCCTCTGTGTCTCCGTGCGTAATATACCAACACACACACACATGCACGCGCTTGCACGAGTCACCATAAGCGGCTCCTCTGGGAGACGAGGAGATGGCGCTGTGTGTCACGCATGAATCATAGAGCGCAACTCTTAGTAACACAACAGCGTGGCCACTGACTCATCAATCAGGCCCGGCCGCGCTTTGCGCGCGCACGCGGCCACATGGAGGAGTCTCAGCGTCGCGAGACCGCTGCGAGGCGTCTCCGCTGCCTTGCCCCGGGAGTTCCTTAGCCAGAGCCATGCGCGTGGTACGCGTGTGTGCCGAGTGCGGTGAGTGGACGTTAGGCCCAGACACCATGTGCGTAAATGGATGTAGGCATTAATGAATGTGTGAGTGCGTGCATGAATGAGCGTGCGTAGACATTATGTCTTTGAATGCACAGCGGATGCGAACGTGTGTAATGTAACGTGCGTGAGTGTGTGTGTGAGATTGTCTTTTGGGAGCGATAGTGCAGCGGTTAGCGCGCTGCGCTCCGAACCTGGCCACCCGAGTTCGATTCCCGTTCACGACCAACACCAGTGACGGTCATTTGGACCGGTCCTGAATCTTCCTTCGGTCGACTCAGCCTCAAATAAGTACCGGGTACCTGGTGCGGTGTGTGAACCTAGTGCGGTGTGTGGGGGAGATAAAGGCGGTCGGGCGACGTTCTGGCCACCCACCCCTCGTGTATCGTGCCGGCCTTCATAAGTGCTACTCGCTCACACAGTTTGCCCCAACAGTCTGTTAAAACTATACGGGGGATCTTTGTCTTTGTACATGCATGTGTATACACGTGTGTATGAATGATGAACACGTGTGTGTATTTTGTACGTGTGAATAAATTGAACTGTGTGTCTGCCGTACGTACGAATGGGCCTGGGAGATATGTATGTTGTATCTATGTGATGGAATAAACGTGTGTGAATAGGTATATATACCAGCCCCTTTCATTCTATTTCCGACCATATCTATCAGTGACAAGTAATATCCAAGCTGATTTGGGTGTGTGTTTAAACGTATATGTGTATATACACATGTATATTAATGTGTATATATGCTGGACTTCTTTCGCACCGTACGTATCCAACCGTGATAATATGAGAGAAAACCCAATAGCATCAGCATTACTCCGCTTACATGCGAGTCCAATCCTCAATCAATCCACCCTCACACCCCGTGGTAGATGAATTCACTCACCTGGCAAGTGCTCGCAGAACTTGTCATCTGGTACAGGGGATCCAGCCAGGTCGGTAGAGGAGGAGGAATAGGCGTTTCTGTTGCTGACGATTGGCTGCTGCCCGACTCCCTCTCCTCCTCCTCCTCGTGGTACATAGTCCAGCACGTCCCGTCTTCCCTTGGAGGATGGCTGGCCCGGCCGAATTTGGCCGGGCCGGCTCAATCAGCTGAGCGGCCGACGGGCTTCGCGTGGCTGGGCTGAACGCCTCGACCACCTCTCTAATACAAAAAAAACCTCTCTATCCGCGCCTCCTCACTCTCGTCCCGGTGTTGGTGAGTCACACGTGGCGAGCACAAATATATAGAGCGGCGAGGCGGGGCGAGTCGCTATTCCTACCGAGTGACGCGCGTGACCCCCCTGTTCCGGAATTCCGCGCGGGGGGTGTCGGAGCGAGTTGGTGTCGCCCCATCGGTGCCTTCTAATCGCATGTCGCCCGCACGACCACGGGAATCTTGACAATGTCTGCGGCCAGAAAGGTGCCGTCGCAATTGAAATTCCGCCATATGCGGTGATCGTGGTGTTGGCGCATTTTTGTTGGTGCGTAAGAGTCCAGATGCCGTTTTTGGTTTTTGAGTGCATGACGACGAGCGACCACCGCTTACGCGAATGGTTGAGTCCTATGATGTTGTCGGCTTATGACCATACATGGTATTAGTGTGCACGTCGTAAAAAAACGAGGATATCCTTGATTTGGTGACGTAGATGGTGGAATTCCCTTTCCGTCTACGGCGACGAAGAACGGTGACAGTTATTCTTGATTTTAAAAAAAAACAAACGGGGAATTCTCGCGGTGAAACAAATTTAACGTGAAATCAATGTCACCCTAGTTCGTGTTATTGTTAAGCGTATTTGATTGGTTATATGTATTTTTATATAACCCTTTGTTACACTAATTATGGTAAGTGTGTTTTCAGCGCTAAATATTTGAGGGCTAGATTATACATTCCTTATTCGTGTCTAAAATATGCATTCATTATTCCAAGTTACATTAAGGTGCTTTGATGGCGACCTGAATAATTATCCAAATGTTCATTGAAATACAAGCTGGAGAAGCGTTATCCTTAATTTGATCGCACCTGAAATCACCTGGGTTGTTATTTGAGTGTGAAACAACGGGAAACTAGGGAAGAGCTGTCTGCTGGAATCATCATGCACTTGTGTAGCCTCCACTGCTACACGAGGACCTTCCTACGTCGCGCGGTGTAGTGGGGGTTTGTCCATACTTCACCGTGCCGGTGGGTGCGGGTTGGCGAGATTAAGAGTGCTGTCTCTGTTGTGTGTCTCTCTCTCTGTGTCTGTGTTGTCTCTCTCTGCTTGTGTGTCTGTCTGTGTGCCTCCGTGTCTGTGTTTTGTCTCTCTCTCTCAAATTTAGTTCTACCTGATGACGGTTGCTTGTGTTGCAATCGAAACGTCGTACTCTATTATTTAATTTACTTTCTTTCTCCGTGACTTTACCGAAAGAACCAAAAAGTGAGCGCTGTTCATGCCCGGTGCGCTTTTAATGCGATCGACATTGACACTACGAAACACGAACACGCACACAAACCACCGCTCGTCTCATCCATCGAATTTCATCAAGCGGCGACCCCACAGTTCGGTCCGCGTCAGATCCGCCAACGAATTCAATCGGCCCCCCTTTTCCGACTCTCGCGCGGGAGAAACTAAACCGCGTGTGCCGTGGGAGCCCTGCGCTGTTGGGATCCTCCCTGCTCTCCTCTCCTCCTCTCCCTCGCCGTGACGCAAAGCCACCCTTCCCCGCCTTAGAAGACGGTCGTGTCCGCGGCGGCCACTCGGTTCCTCTTCGCGTCGCAGATTCTTCACGAGGGATACAAGTGGGCCATCCCCCCCCTCCTCCTCCTCCACCCATCCATCCCCGTTACGTCGCTGCGCCTACAATCTGAACAAATCTGAAATCTTCCGTGCGGGTGCGCGTGGCTTTGCGTCTGGAACTGAACCGTCGCTCGCCGTGTTGGCTGGGCCCGCGAGACGCTTCCGTGAGCCGACCGACTCCTGAGATGCGAGGTGGGGGAGCGTCTTTGCTCTGGACACAGGGACGCTTCGTGTTTGGTCGATCGGCGTGCGCCGGTCCGCGTTGTTCTTCGCAGAGACGCGCGGCTCTCGCGCCGGAGTTTGAGTGTTGCTTGTCAAGCGCAAGGATCCGACCTCTTACTTCACTACCATCATCATCTTCATCCTCCTCTTTATCGCCATCACCATTACGGTCTTTATCGTCATGATTCAATGATCGTCAGCATCATCACAGTCATCATTGTTCTTCCCCTTCGTCCTGTTCTGTCATCATACTCATCTTACACCTTTGCTCCAACACATCACCATGAATGCAGTATATAAGCTACAAGTTAGATGTATTGGATATACATAAATAGCTTATACATATTATTCTCACGTGTCGTTGACTCATTTTGTCCGATTAATGATATGCTGATGGTGTTTAGTGTTCAGTGTCGGGCGGAGCGGTGGCGCAGTAGTTAGCGCACTGCGCCACGAATCAAACCGGCTGGGTTCAATTCCCGGCTGTGGCCACATATCGCCAGTGACACGTTTTAACTCAACCTGTCTCGGGCAACTCTTAGCGTCCACTCAGCCCTCAAATGCCGCGTGTGAACATCCCGCAATCGACAGAATCGACGACCGGGCGTGGCGTTGGTCACACCGCTCCCCGTCCGTCGTCCGTGGTCGCGACCCGAAACACGTGCTCGCAAACAGCGCTTACCCCAACAACCCTACAAAGCCGAAGGGAGTATATATGTTTTTTAGCCTTCTTCTTATGCGTCGTCTACGTCACGTCCACATGGTTCTTACAGCCCCTAGGTAGGGATGGCAAAGCGCCGTTCGTCGCATGCGCTGCACGTCGCGATGTGTGCGTGCGTGCGTGCGCTCGCTCGCTCGCGCGGGTCGTGCGGTTAAGCGAGTGTGAGTCGGGTGCTAATGCGGCGTGGAGGGGACAGGGGAGGGAGAGAGAGGCGGGGGGTGGGTGGAGCTTGTGGGGATGGTCAGAGAGAACGTGCGTGTATTACACAGGATGTGTGTGTCATACGGCGTTGTGTGTGTTCGTTGTGTGAAGCGGTAGTGTAGCGGTCAGCGCGCCGCGCTACCCGGGTTCGATTCCCGCTCACGGCCAACGCCGGTGACGAATATCTGAATCGGTCCTGGGCCTCCCCAGTGTCGACTCAGCCTCAAATGAGTACCTGGTGCGATGTGTAAATATCGCCACGAGGGAAACAAAGGCGGCCGGGCGTGGTGTTGGCCACCCACCCCTTCGTGCGCCGTGCCAGCCTTTGTAGGTGCTCGCTAACAGCACTTGCCCCTACAGTCTAAGGCTACACGGGGGAACTTTCTTTGGTTTGTTAGTCAGGGGAGCGGTAGTGAAGCGCTTAGCGCGTTGCGCTATGAACCCAGCAACCAGTGACGATTATCTGAACCGGTCATGGGCCTCCCCTAGGTCGACTCAGCCTCAAATGAGTACTTGGTGCGGCTGAAACGCAGAGCGTGGACGCAGTGGGGAGCACAGCGGATGAATCTGCCAGGCATCTCAGTCAGTCCAACCCATGGCACCTGGGTCCGCCACCTCCTACCTAGCGGGCCTTGGACACTTCACGTGGCCTCAAAGTCCACCCAGCGTGGCACAAACGCCGGTTGTTGTTGTTGTGTTACAGTTGTTATTATGTGCCAATATGTGGGTTTGATCTCGAATTCAAGTATTCCTCTCTCAGTGCAATTCCACCTCTTCGTGTTTCTTCGCGGACCGTTCGGATGTTCTTCCACGTCATCTGTCAATGTCCACGTTTCTGATCCGTCACAGTAAGGGGTCGGTTCCCAGTCGCAGCAGACCTTCGTGACCAATTGGGCTCCCCTTCACCAACCCCCAGTGACCAGCGTGGTGAAGTATGGCCGACACAACGGAGAGGAGGCCTTCACCCGCCAGTGGATTGACAAAAGCGCTGCATTGTTCGTTGCTTACCGATACTGTACAATACTTGCACGATTGAGCTTCCATAGCCACGTGTAATTGTTGTCTCTAGTGTTGTTATGGACGTGTATCAATGTGGAGGCCACGCATACTCCCCCCCCCCCCCCCCCCCCGACGCGTCGTGGAGAGGGCTTCATCCAGCAGTGGTTCAAAACAAGTGGGTGTTCTATACATCGCACACACATCTCCGTTAAGCACGGTGGGCTACGTACGGTGCGAAAGAAGTTCAACATGGCAGCACATACATACGGTCCAAAGGTCGCCGGTTCGAGTCCATGTTCCGAAGCGGCGGTTGACACAACGACGTCTGAGAGTGTCCTGCTTCTTGTCCACGCTGCAGTATAAACGAATACACAGCGTTGCTTACACACCGCATGTGGTCGATAGGCAGGCAGGCAGGCAGGTCGCGTGCCGTGGGCTAAAACGTGGGGTAAATAACCATCTCTTTGGCCTGCGTGGAAGAGTAGACCAAATCCCCTCCGGTGGTTTACTCGAGTGAATAACCCCTTGCGCAAGCAGTGGCGGCTGCACCTCCGTCCCTTTGTTTGACGCGACGAGCCCCGTGGCACGGAGCTCTCGCAGGAAGCAGCTAAAAGGGGGGCGTGGAGGTGGTGCTGGGGGCAGGGCGCACGGCCCCCCTCCACACCTCTGATGCAACCTCGCATGGCTCACGGCACGCGCCACCATCGCCGGCCACCACCATCAGCATCGTCGTCGTCGTCACCGTCGTCAGCGGGCGTACGCAGCCTCCGTCACAGAGAGACGGCGAGAACAACAACAACAACACCACCCTCCTCCTTGCTCGAGTGTCTGTCATCTCCGCGCTGTTGACGATATTAAAAGCGAGAGGAACAGCATCAGCAGCAGCAGCAACAACAACCATGTCACATTGCGTCACCCGCCCATTCAACTCGTGCCACTCGAAGCAATGGGGCTTCTTAGGGTTCGGGTTCATTGCTATTCAAGGAGAGGAGAGAAGGAATGAGCGCCGAAGCGAAGCTGACAACGCAAACAGGAGATAATGCGTAGCGCGTCGACGTCACGGGATGCAGCACGCCAAGGAGTCCTGATGCGATCGACCGTGCGTGCGTGCGTTGCGTAAAAATGATAACGCCGCTAATAGAATGACTGAGGAGGGGGCATAGATGCCCGCACTGCGAGCATCTGTATGCTCTCACGCGTCGATGTATGTACGTAGTGTGATTTAGTGTGCCGATCTTTAAAGGTGCATTGAAAATGTTTGATGCTGCTACTGATGCTCCTGCTGTTGTGGAGTGACTCATGCGGCCAGCTACGGCTACAGGGTTTTAGTGGTACGTGTTGTTTATGTCGTTTATTGTGAAATGTCGGTCACAGTTCCTATGATCGCTGTTACATTGCTTTTATGGCTTTATTTTGGTGATCTCGAAAACGTTTTTTTGGTTTGGGCATGTTTGTAAGTTGTCTTGTGGCTGTTGTTGTTGTTTGACTTGCATCCCACTGGGATTTTTGCACACAGCGTTGGTGTACGACGCTTTTTCTGGAAGATTTTGCTGTTTTCTCCTGGATTTTTTTTCTGTTTGCGCATAGTCACTTTAAGATATTTTCTTGTTCATGTTTTTGTTCGTTCGGTTGCACCCGATTCAAGAGCCGAATGGCTCACAGGGCTATACCAAAATAAATAAAACTGAAACTGAAACCTATGGATTAGAGTATGTGTTAAATTAGCAAGCTATCGACCATCGTGATCATGGTCAAACCGCTCAATCCCCAACCATCGTCATCATCATAATCTACTCATAACCTACTATAATCACCCAGAAATGTCTGTCCGTCCCGCGCGTGACGTCACTCCACATGAGCTCCACCCCCCCGCGTGACGTCACTCCACATGAGCCCCCCCCCTCATTAATATTCATGAGTGCGTGGATTTTTAAACTAACGCACAGGAAGGTCGCACCCCTGCCTTCATTAATAATCATGAGCGGGTGACGTCACTCCACATGCCGCACCCCTCCACAATAACCATGAGGGGGTGACGTCACTCCACGTGCCGCACCCCTCCTTAATAACCATTAGCGGGTGACGTCACTCCACATGGGGCAACTCCCCTTCATTAATCATCACGAGCTGAACAATTTTTCTATTGAATATTTCAGATTTACTGCAATATACACCCGTCCTTGGACGGGCAAAAAAGCTAGTTACATCAATATTCAGCATTTTACCGATCCTCAAGATTATCAATCAATCGTCATTCAATTACAGTAAAACTTTGGATTGCGAGCATAATTCGTTCCGGAAACGTGTTTGTAATCCAAAGCACTCGTATATCAAAGCACTCGTATATCAGTTG